GCATGGCACATTCCACCTTAATCAAAAGAACACTCCCCAAAACATAAATACATTCCTTTTATTCAGCATTTCTAGTGATATGTCATGACACCATTCACTACTGGTGTTCTCCAGAGTGTAAGTACATCAGTATAGAAGCAGCTTTTCAAGCTCCTCCACAAAAAAAGTACTCATAAAATTAGGAACTACACATAGAAGACATTTTTTTTCAGACTATCTCCTTGAAGCAAGACTCTCAAACCTCTGATCTTAGGGAATCATTTGCCACTGATTCCAGCTAATAAAGGACCACCTAATTGGTCTATATGTAGAATTTTTTTTCCAAATAGACAAAAATGGCAGTTCCTAAATGATCAGTACATTGCTGCCAAGATCTAATCAATGTATCTTATTTGTTATAGTCCATTGTCCTTCAGCTCTGAATATGTCTTTCCTCCCTAAAATCTGGTGACCTGTTAATGGGGAGATAATTTTTAAAGTTTTCTTATTCTATAGACAGGTTGCACATTCCACTTGGCATTTAAAGAAAGTTTAGACAAAATTTAGTACACACTGTTGTGCAGAAACCATCTCCACCATAACCTTTTCTTGATAAAACCCTTTTTTTCTCTTGCATTAATGCGTTGAAGTCTACCCTTCAAAAGATTTTTTAACTACATTTGTGATATTTTTTTAAAATATATTCCAGACAATAGTTGGGAGTGTGTAACTGTACAAATTTTCTGCTAATGTTCTGGCCTTCATGCTTTGTCCTCCATGATGGTTTCATTTCTATGGTCACATGTGACAACTCATTTATGTTTTGTCCCCTAGAACACATTTCTGTGGGATTTTTCCTTTGGACATACACCCATACATGATTACAGCAGCAGCAGCAGCATCTCAAGGTAACATCTGAAAAAGGTTTTGAAGGGACAGAACTTGAAAAAATTGGTTCAAGTCACTGTTTTCCATTGCCACAGTGTTCCTGAGCAGCATCCATGTGTTTATGTGGCACTAAGTTTTTACACAAAGGTGAATCTCTGTAGTTTATGGAAGTTGCAGTTGTCCTTTAAATTCTTGCAAAAGGCAAGATGGAAGAAAAAGAGATGGGAAGAATTATACAGAACTGACGCATAATAATAAAATAATTGTCAAAAAATAATTGCAGTTGCTATAAGCTAAATTTCTGTAAGCTAAGTTTATCAGCAGGGCAGAAGTTCAAGAGAAAAAAATAGTGTCAGGAAAAATGGATTGTGAAAAAAGGGGGAAAGGAGCAATATCTGAAACAGAATTTTGTCACTGCTGAACAACACAGTGGCCATTTGTAATCCCAGAGGGGGTTGCTGTAAATGCCCCTGCCTCTCAGTACATTGTGTGGCTTGTTACTGTGCTTTTAACTGTGTTCAAACACCAAACCTCAGGCCTGATCCTGCCCTAAAATTTCACCAGTATCAGGTGCAATATACTTGGGAAGAGCTCTGTCTGCAATGTGGAAATAAATGAATTATGTTTTACTGCTAATTTTTAGTATACAGATTTGGCTAGCTAAAAATGGGAATATTAGCTGCCTGTATAGCTGTACTCTCAGATTTTATTAATGAAACCACACAGTAAGTGCCTTATACCTAATATTAAAATCTGTGCTTCAAATTCTAATTGTATATTGGGGCTGTAGTTGGTCTTAACAAATTACGTGGTAAAAAAGGCAATGGAATTATAAAAGTCTAAAATAACGTGGCGGAGACTTATCATTTTATAGAAGAACATTCAGTTACAATCTGATTCTAACTGTAGAGATACTTTCATGTTAATCCCTAAAATATCTGTATAGTTTTATGGCTAAGCCTTTATACTGGATGATTTCTTTTCAAGCACAGGTAGGAGAAGAGAACTGTAGGAACGAAGGGCCCCTGGAAGCAGTTACAAATGGGACAAATGACAAGGCATGGTGGGACTGCAGCACAAGGCCTCCACTGCATGGTGCACAGCTCCTTGCATTTCTCAATGGCAGTGTGGGAGTTCAGGAGCATGCCTTCTCAGCCTTCCTTTTAGGGCAGTAGAAATTATGCTAGCCTTAATTTCAGAGCAGGTAGAAGGGAGGGAACTCTGTGGCTGTTAAAGCTCTTTTGGTCAATAATAAACAACTAATTAATTTTGGTATTTGACTAAATAAGATTTGAGTTGGATCCAAATAAAAAAAAAACAAAAACTACTTTCCAAAGCAGCTCACAAGACACCTGTGCAGACAGAGTTAACAAAATTTGAGAATAGGGCTTGAGACAGGAATGCAGAGTTGAAGAAACACAAGAAAGCCAAGACAGAACCAAATAGCATATGTGGTTACATGTAGATTGCAGACAGAGGAAATGTGGAGCAGAAGAGTCCTTCCACACTGCCGGCTCATTCAAGCCTTGTTTCTGGTGCAAGGCCTGCAAGGGCTCATTCGCATTACACAAAACACATCACATTCTGCCAGTGCCACCTTCCTGGAGGCAAAAGGGCTGGGTGGCCCTCCAGGAAATGGTTCCTGGGTTTTAACAGATGTTCATTTTCTGACAAAGACAAAGCAGCCTAAGTTTGAAGTTTAACTGTAAAATGAAAGGCAATCTAAGAGCTCCCCCCTATCCAGCTCCACTGAAGATGTGAGATTTTGCTGTAGGCTCCAGGGGCAATCCTGATACAGTCCCTACTGATTGTTTTATCTAAAAATACCCAAATTATCTTAGTGAGAACAAAAAAAGTTTAATAGCATTTATCTTATTTCAGGTTTTCATGAAGTTAATTTTAAACATAACTTCTTTTATAATTTCCAGGCTTTCCTTAGGTTTTGCATTAGCATTCATCTTAGTGGCAAAGCTTAATTAATTGCATCAACATTGATTTATTATTACTCTGCAAAATAATGTTTATTAAATTATTTTCAATCACAAACACAGTTCTAAATCTTAGAAAAGCAAATGGTCTGCATGGCTTATAAAATACCATAGCTGTTCAATTAAAATGTTTGATGATGACATTGAAAAAATATATTTTGAGAACTTTCTTTTTATTAAATACTAAATTCGTTAAGTAGATTTGGGCCAAAATGTTTTAATGCAAGTATAGGATACCTACTTCTATCCCCAAAAATCAAAAGTATGGTTTTTTTTAAAGTTGTCCTTTAATTTGCTGTACAAGTACACCAACATCACAGCTATGACTATGATTTAACTTTTATTTCTTGCCCGCATGAAAAGTTTCTATGCACAAATTCTGACAGGAGTATCAGAGAATATTTTGGTTCTAGGCCTTGGTACGTAATACAACTTGAAATATCTGCCTTACAAATATAAAAACATGCAGATGAAGCATAGGCTTCCTCCAAGTGTCAATGTAAGATCACTAGTTGATCATTATTTAATCATTATTTCTTTATAATGGTTAAATGTTTTGCTGATATTTTACAATAGATTGCTATTTAATTTTTAAACCAAGTCAATATTTTTAATGATAGAGATGAGTAGACGGATCTTGTTAATAACAGATTTCTCTGTACAAGCTATTTGTCTTTATTAGCCATCAGACTGAATGGAGCAAACAATTAAAATTTGTCACACAAAGTAGAAAAATAGCCTTGGACTTTAAGGCAGTTTTAATTGCTTGTATTTCACTGTAATAACCCATGTGATAATCCAACCTTTTCATCATTAAATTATGACAGCTTGAAATAAAACTGTCAGAAGATTTTCAAACTTATAGACAAGAATTTCAATTTTGACACAGTTAAAAGGAAAATTGATAAGGAAAATACTGTCATAATTAATATAATTTTCATTCAGTGAGTTTATAAAGCAAAGTAATCTTCTGAAAACAAGTTTAAACTTGTATGTACCCTTTGTTTTTAAAAGCAGGTTATGTAGTATGTTGAGTAAAAGGAAGATGATATTCACCTTAAGGTACTGAATCATCGATATTTACAGCTTGATTGAGCATGAATAACTCACCTAAGTCCTTTAAAACATTTATTTTATCTGAATTTTTTTCCTGGACTCAAAAATTATGAATCCTGAATTCAGGCAATAGTCTAAATATCTGTATTGAAAAAAAAAATTAAAAATACATTGAACACAATCTTCAGACTGGAAAACAAAGACAAAACGCACTATGAATATTTAAAATGTGCAGTATTGTGGGGGTTTCTAAATAAATATATATACATATAATCTTATTCTATACTAGCAAACAGCCAATTTCTTTTCTGTGAAAAGGGAAAAAATGGATATAAAATGGAAACCTTCATAGCAGAAATGGCTTTCAGATATTTTTAACACACAAAAGCTATCACTCTTCAGCCTTTGACTATCCATAATTAATATTTATAATATACATAAAAATTAAACACATCTAAGTTTCAAGATATTATGATTCTGCTAAATACTCTGGAGGTTTCCATCAAGTACTTACAGATCACAGTAGTGTTTTATCTCAGTGGCTTACAGTGTAAGCAGAATCCAATCGTTGACAATAGCTTACTGGACAAAGGATAGATTTTTGAGCAAGGTAAAAATGTTACAGTTGAACCCATTATTTTTAAAATAAATTAATTCTGTCATTTTCAAAATCCTAATATGCTTCTTTCTAATTTAAACATAGGACTGTTTTTTTCAGCTGGAGGCCTCCAAGTAAATGAACTACTGAGAAATTTTTTGAGAAATTCTCTACTTTGATAGGTATCCATGATCCAAAATTTTAAAATACTGGAAATACTAACCAGCTTTCTTCACCAGCTCATCAGAAAGCCACTGAGTAGAAATAAATGATGGATAAACTACACCTTGTTCAAGAGGATTCATGTTTTTCTTTCCATTCTTGCCAATATTTTCAAGGACAATTTGAAGAACAACCATCTTTGCTAAATTTGGGAAAAGTTACATTATAAAGCATAACTGATGCCTTTTCTATTTCCCTGCAGAATACTATACCCTTCCATGACCAAAAAACTGTGTCTGGTGAAAGCCAAATCATGTCCACAGCAAGGTTCAGTTCCACTGGCATGAGCAGTCTATGGGCTCTTGAATGACGTACATAATTTCGGTGCCGTTTCCTGAGCAGCGCAAGGGCACAGTCACGACTCGTGTTCCAATTTCTCGACAACATTTACAGAACCTTAGATGGCTATCAATATTGACATTGTAAATTGTTGCAGATGGGCATTTGCCATCACATGAAGCCACATTGACCTATGAGTAAAATAGAAGAAAATAAGAATGAGAATTAAAACTAGAAATCTGAAATTTTATTATAAAAATATTATGTTTCAAACTTCATTGTGATTAAACACCATTTTCACATTTGAAAAGGACTCCGGTCTTAAAAATTATTTTATCTTCTAAAATTCCTTCATTCTAAGTTTAGCCACATTTAAAATATTTTTAATTGAACTTTTCTTTATTGTTTAATCATGTGTTTTGTTTCAATCTTGTGCTATGGATACCAAAATTGAATCCCCATTGATAACTTTGGAACAGCACAGCTGAATCCATGTCCTTTTCATGTTCACAGGTAAAAAGTTAAATTATTCTAAGTAAAAGGAAGGGAAGTCTATCTTTCTCCTTGAAAGAGAAAAAGCATATCAGTGCAAAAGCTTTTCCCTTTCTTATTTGTTCTGTTTGTGACTGAGGGCTGTGTTATCACTCAAAGAAATATATCCAAAAAGTACATGCAGTAACAAACCAGCTTGGGCACAAGCTATCTAGAAAATTATTTGTGCTCTAGATTTCAGCAGTGCAAAGCTTTCTCTTACTTTTACATTATGTGAGGAATTTTCTTAGCTGAAATGTTGACAGGGAAAAAAATTCTTTTTAATTAAACTTAAGCAGAGTTCAAGTGCTGGGAAATCGAGGATGGCTATACAAGGTCTAGTTCTCTTTGTGACAGACTTAAATCTCATTTCTTCTGCAGGTGATGCATATGAAAGATGCTTTGATCTACTCCTATGCCTGTGATGAAACCCCCCATACCTATACAAATTAGACTAAAAGATTACTTTTATAAGTTTGAAATTACCTGAGATTTGGCAGGAGTAAAAAAAGACTTTTTCCTAAGCACTAGCAATCCCAGTTATTAATTATAAAACATAATCATGCTTAGCCCTATCCAAAGTTTGACAGCAGTAGTCTGGCCAAGAACACGTATGCAGTTTCCAGCCAGTCACAGCAGATACCAACATTTGATAGGGCAAAATCACATGATGGAAAAAGAGTGCCAGTGGGGGAGCTGGAGAGGAGAGGGAGTTTAGGGCATGAGGACATGAAAATCTGGAGGTACTTCTGTGGGAAGAGTAAGGGAACCTGGACTGTATGAAGGATATGCAGCCACCAAGGAAATTGGGAACAAGGAGATCCTGAGAAAAGGGGGCTCTAATAAAGCTGGGATGGTGGCAGGTGTTTTTGGAAGGTAGAGAGGGAGGAAAAGATGAAAAGTTTACAACAGAAAGATGAAAAGGAAGGCCTTATTTGATGTACCATTCAAGACATCACCTGGCCAACATTCCTGTTGCTCCTCTCTGAACACTTTAGCTCTGCAGCAATGTGGAGGGACCGCAGTTGAACAGAGCCCTCATACTCATACTTATTCATAAAAGACACTAGAATGAGCTTGTTTCCACTGCCTGTCTATTTGCCTAAATGTCATAGATTTTAGCCTTTTTGTCAGCAGGAAGGCAGAGCCTGTCATAGAACTGGATGAAAGGGCAAGGATCTTTTCACCTAGCTTAAAAAAACCTATGAGCCTTGACTAAATCTTTCATTTTAATATTCTTTATTTAGTCAAAACCATGTCTTTATTTTGTTGTATTACTGTTTCTTATCCTAGGTTGTTGAAGTAACACTGAAACTCTCCAGACTCATCTCGTAACTATGGCAAATTACTCTAATTTCATCTATTTATACTTCCTCATTATCAATCTTTCTAAAACTAAATAAATACACCTACAATGCATTCCTACAATTAAAATCTGAACACGTCACCACTGACCTTCTATCAGGATGGCTTTTAACATGTGACGACATTTTGCCTCTTCCCTAATGACTGCTTAGATTCTCCAACAGAATCTTGCCAGAAGACGTTTGGAAGCCTTGAGATACTTTGTCAATTGCTTCCCTTCCAAGTGCTACATGAGAAGCACATTTGCTGCTCAGAAATTTCCTGGGGTCTGTAGATGGGCCGACACCAAAGCTGAGAAATAAGGTGTCTTAAGCAGACCCATAAATAAATGGCATTATGAATTTATGATATAGAAACCTATGCAATGTGAGGGAAGACAGAGAGCATAAAGGTCTCCAAAGAGGAATGCAGCAGTTTCATCACATTTCAAGTTGGAACATTTCTGCTCCTCTTTTAGAGCAGGATATTATTTCACACTGAGGAGTTCAGTGCCTCCATTAGTTAAAGTAATTATAGTCGGTATTTTTCATCTGAAGCCAGGTGTTCCTCCAGGTGGGAGGGCTCAGTAATAGAAACAGCTAGTTTTACTCCATTTATGGTAGGATAACATTCCTAGAATCAAGGGTTTGCTTTTGAGGAGAAAGCAGCACATTTTGTTGCTTGTTGTTAGCTATAACCAACTTTCTAATGCTTGGCTTTTCATGCCATAGGCCCAGCATTGAAATTTTATGCTTACCGGGCTTTGACTTATACAGTCATTTTTTCTTATGGTTGTCCTGATTGTCATTTTCTGGCAAATCCTTTCTTCCTTTTTGCCTGATAAAATACAAAAAATGCATACTGAATCAATATCTCTTCTGTAATGTATTTGCTTCTTTAAAAAATTAAATATATTAACATAATTTAAATACTCTTTGTTTTCAATAATGTACACACAGAAATTATTACTTCCATAATTTTCTTTTTAAATATAATATAATAATACATAGGTGCTGTGCAGTATAACCTATTTTTCAATGGCACATGTGAGCATCAAATGCCCTAAATAAGCTATACAAATTTTTTAAACATTAAAATATGAATATGCTTCATAGTTTATAAAACTATAAGACATAAACTATTAAACTATGAATATGTTTTTAGATTGAAAATATGACAAGAGAAATATATGCAATTAGAAAAAATGTATTGAGTCATTTTTAATAGTATTAGAATTAATTCTGTTTTATTGGGAATGTTGAATGCAAATAGGATTTTGGTCCCGCCTTTTAAAAAATTATCAAAGCTTAACATCCAAGAAGGCGAAAGTGCGAACGTGATTACAATCTTCATGCTATTTTTCATGACTAAAAATTAAATGTAATTATATTATTTCGATATATTTTGAGAAATATGTCCTTTTATGAAGCTTTGAAAGAAAGACATGCATTTATTTGCTAAATATGATGCACTTTTTATCACAGAGCTGAAACGTGTAGTATATGAGGTCAGCATACAGGTCTAGGATGAGGGAAATACTGAATTTTTATATTCAGTCCTGGAGATATTGATAGGAGGGTTTTGGGGTTTTTTTATTTTGAAAAATAAAACTGTACAATGAAAAGCCATTTTTTAACATATTCTAAGTCATAATACAATACTGAAACAATTAAACATATAATTTTTCATACTTCACTCTGTATCAGACCATTATTACTATCTGTATAACAGCAGTTATTTAGATCTCCTTATCCACTACCCATCAAAATGATCTGGTAGTTTTGCTGTGTAACCATACTGGACAAGTATATAAAATAATAAGCACTATTCAGCACTTTCTTGACTTTCCTTCAAGGTTGGGTGTACAGAAAGCAACTCTTCTGTTCCCCAGAAGCTTGAGAGCACTTTTATAAGATAAATGATCTCTGAGTAACGAAAATATTCTGCAGCCACAGCTCCGTTAAGTACTGAAAATTAAGCTGGCTGCAGAGTACAGCTAGATTTTAACAGGTGCCTTAAAGAATCCAACTATATTCTCTTACTGAACTAGCAGATCACTACAGGAGAAAAGTTGTTAGACTATAGCATCTCACTTTTCCTTCCTCAGAAACACTTTAAAAATTTCCTGTGATGTTTCAATCTGAAAGTGTTTGCCAGCTTATGTGTAGACAGTGCAATCCTTGTACTGCTACAAGTCATATAGAGATGTATATCTAACATTTCAGCATACAAAGTGAGCTCTGCTGCTATACTCTGCTCTCTCCAGCCTTGAACTGTAAAGATCTGCATTTCAGTATCAGATGTGCTTTGTTTACTCACTCCTTATTTGAGGAAGGAGTTTTTGTGACTCATCTATCCTAAAAAGCATAGAATTATGAGTGTACTGCAACAGTTCTGTAACATTCTGTAACATCTGGTATAAAAACTGTGTATTGCTGTGGAGTTGCAATTGTATGCGTTGTGTCCCCCTCCCCACCCCTGGCCTCAATATTTTTGTAACTCTGTAAAATACATTATTTGTGACAAAGAAGAAACACAGCATGAATCCATATCTGCAAAGGTGAGACCAGACAATAACACACATTCTTGCTCTATTTTAAGGCAAAATTATTTCCATCATTAAATTTAGAGACCTAAGATCAGATTTAGAATCTCTTGGTAACAGAATTCAGAATTATGATTTTTTTAAAGTAACATTTCTTATTAAAACTATCCTGTACAGTAAGTTCATGTGATAAAACCAGTTTCAGCAATGAGCAGCAGGAATAACCATCAACAGCATATACCAGAAATGGATGAACCTAATTCTGACAGGTGCTGAGCAGTGAATCTTAACCAGGTTTTAGAAAATCACTGATTTGGGAAGGCAGCAGAGGATCAGCATCTCTCAGTATCAGGCCCAGAACCATTAACTGCATGGTAATATCCAGTAATGACGACAGCTATGACACATATATCAAGCAGTTCTTATATTATTAAAAAAAAAAAAAAAAGGAAAGAAAATACATTATTAAAAATAATACCTGGTTCACAATTAATACTATCAGTAGGCACTACTGGACTAATGGCAAAGGGTAATAGACCCAATCCAGAACCTGGCAGAATCATTAGGAATAGAAGATTCTCATGAAATAAAAACATTTCTGTATAAATGGTACTTCATTAATTCTTACACTGCCAACTGTAATTTTTCTTTTAGCAAAAGATGATGAGCTTTCCTGTTAGACTTCTACAATTTATAAACTCTGCAGCTGCTTCAAGTCTCACTAAAGATGGCCCGTACTTTATTATTCTCCTGGTTAACACAAAACTGGAATGCTTGCTTTTAAACCAAACTTTTGGAATTAGTCTGTCTATGGCAAGGTAAGAATTAAATATATGCACTCGCTTTGCATGCATTAAATCAAGCTCTTTCAGAAAAGTTATTTGCTCCCATTAAAATCCCAATGTGTTGCAAGCTCTATTCATAAGTACTCTTATCTTAACTGCTTCCCCACAGGGCACATGCTTTTAGTTAAAAATAAAAATAAAAATAAAATAGCATATAATTGTATGAATGATATCTGGCAGTTTTAGCAGCCACCTCAGCAAGTATTTCTGAAGTATAACAATGCCTTTCCTGAGGCCACAGAATATGGCCAAAATTATAAATCTTGGTCAGCAGAGAACCAGCAGTCAATAATTTTAATAATTTTTAAGACTAATTTTCTAAATAATGACAACCAAATGTTTTTGGGGGTAAGGGGGGCAGATATTTTTTTTTCCACACAGTTTATCTCATGAGAGAAAGATTATTGATTAGTAAGATTTTAGTAAAATTCTGGTGTGTTACTTCTCTACGGTGATTCTCGATAATAAAACATATTCTGTTGCATTAAAATAGCTTTAATTTTCCATGTTTTGGTTGCAATGGAACAACAATATTTGCAGTTTCCTTTCTAAGAATCACATAGCTTGGAAGTTTGGCATTGTTCTGTATTTTATAAATATCACTACTTCCCCTATTTCTCCAACTTATATTCAATATATTGCGCTTCAGTTATACATAATAACAGTGCAATATATGGTTATAAGTCTGCAACTTGCTATTCAATAATATTAATTAATATTGTTTGTATACAAAAATTCCAAAGACTAATTTGCTTTTACTCTACTGTTGAACACAAAAAAGGCCAAAACAGAGGGTTAAGATTTTCTGTAATGCTGAACATGTCCCTGCTCTACAGAATTACTTTTAAAAAACATAAACATATATATACATACACACACATGCATAATTATATAAGTAGATAATAAAAATTAATTCTAGTCAAAACTGCAGAGAAAACCAGTGTGTTCTTAATCTATTTTTAAAATTGCATAAATTGTGAAAGCTTTATGTTATTTTGAGTCACATTTAATCATATTTTAAAGTTACACACAGAAAATGTTAATGTATTACCAGATATTAAAAGGCTGATTTTATATAAGCATTGCTATCATCAATATTTCTCTAATTTTTCCTCATTTCAGATTTAAGAAAAAACATTTCAGTATTTTGGACCTAGAAAATATGTATTAGGCATACAGAATAAATTGCTAAGTTTGAAGATGCATTGCAAAATATCATTGAATCAAGAATCACTTTTAAGAGGAAAATTCTTGTCTTTTAAGGTGAAGATTATATAGGCACTATTTGAGAGCCAACTTAAGAGAATGTTTTAATTGTTTTAATTGAGACAATTTCAATCTTCCATGGGTTATATTTGGAGAGATTTGATTATACTCCAGAACAATAATGTTAAAAATCACCAAGTCAGCAGCCAAATTAAGCAAGATCTCTTAAGAGTTGTTAGGTAACTACCACAATTTTATGAGATTTGCAGGGGGAACTGCATGCTTTTTCCCTCTTTATGTCCCAGCAACAGAGGTTAAAAAATAAGCCTTCCAAAACCAAAGCTAAACTAGCACATATTGCAGCCTTCATCACTTACAGGTCTTGCAGCAGCCATCATTATACGTCTGCACAATTCCTCCATTCTAGGAAAATAAAAGAAGAATATAGCAAAAAAGTCTGAACCTAATGCAAAGGCAAATTGTATCTCAAGATATTCCACATTTTAAAGACATCAAACTAATACAAAGTAGTGCCACTGAAATCAACAGAATTACACAGATATATATCAGCTGAAGGGTTGTTTCATGAATTATTTAGTGCCTTTGACACTGAAAATGAGCTCATCATGATGACAATTTCAATTGTGTTCAGTTGACATCTGATTTAGTTTCCTTTGAAGAAATCATTTAGTTTCTATAAGCATGTTTTTATATAATCTACTATCATCCATTTCCCCACCACGGAGATTTATAAGGATAGTTTCAAAAATACGTGTGAGTAGCCCAGATCTGCACATCAAGCAGACTACAGAAGATTAATAGATGCTATCTTTTGCTGATGTTATCTTAGGACAACAAGAGACAAAAGACAGACATTTTTCAGCTTCTATCTTTTCATGCAAGCATCTATTTTTTACCTCCTTACATTGAATAAGTTGTTCAAGAACTTCTTAAAAGACCACTTAAACTCAGATATTCCTGAATTATTCTGAATTGCCTGTGAGAAAAACTTTCTTCTCAGCTAATGGCTCAAGCCTATGCTCAGCGTCTCTCAAAAACAGGTCAGACTGATTCAGAAAGTTAATTTTAGGGCTCTGTTCTTTAAAATCTTAATCTAATAGATCTGAATGGTGTCAGAATGGTTCCAAGGAAGAAATTCAAGCATTAACTCAAACTACTACAGGCATTATTTTTAAACAGAATACTTTCTTCAGGACTGGAAGAAATAAGAACTTTTTTAAATAAATGGAAGGGATAATTAGGACTAGTACTAAATGCATAATCTGTAGCCAAGGCAACCATGGTACTTACCATTTCTACATATATATTTACTATTATTTGTAGCTCATATTAAATATAAAATATACTGCAAGTGAAAAATTTGGCAGGCATTATAAATTTAGAGAATTATTAAATTAGAAATTAAACCATAAACAAATATACAACCTTTGTGAAGAATACATGTTCTTCAAAGCAGTTTATATGGATAGGCCAGCTTAATATTTTAAAATATATGATGTAGGTAGACACCCTGGATATTTTTTGTTTGGTTACACCAATTTTAGTTTAAGAGCTAATAAAGTTTATATATACTCAGTCATCTCCCTAATCATTGCACAACTTAAGGGTTTTTTAATATAGCTGACATTTATATGGAGCATTTTTTTGATTTATAGATCTGATTGATTTATTGTGTGTGTTCTATGAACTTGGCAAAGTATTATTCCAAAATAAGGCAAGACATAGCAATTACCACTTTTTATAGTGGTATGTCAAGCATGATTCCAGTTCTAAAAGCAGTCATCAACAATACTCAAGCCAAACTTTTACACTCCTCACAGATAATTTGTCAGTTGGAAAGAAAACAGGAGTATAGGAAATGACTGCCAATTGCTCATTTACATGTTTTTACTTACCACTTTTTTAATTTAAAGAAAGTGCATGAAGTTTGCCTGAATTTTGGAGTGTAAGTCAAACTCTGGAGCAATTATTGTCACTTACCTTACTCAAAGTACAAACCTTTGTACACTCAGTGTCATTAAATGGGGGGCAGACAACACTTGATCCCAGTGCAATAGCCCCTGCAGCAGTCTTAACACATTTGTAGTTGGTGCAGTTGGAGGTCCAGGTGCTTCCTTCCTGAATATACAAAACAAAGCTGTTGTTAGGAAAACCAAAACACTTCAGCTTTATTTCCAACCCGAAATGTTTATAAAAGCTGTGCCCTCATGCTGTAGCATCCACTGGAGTGGAAAGTCTGCTGCAGACCAACGAGTAGGTGGCAAAAGGAAAGACCATCCTCTAATTACAAGAGGCTACTCCTCCCTGGAGCCATGGCTCTACTCTCCTTGCTGAGCATGCTGCTGAGCATGGGTGCCATACTACAGAATGAAAGGACTTTGTGCCAGTTCAGTCATTTCTTTTGCTCTGAAATCAATTGAAACTATGAACCAAGTCATGGCCTCATCTAAATTTCTGTGCATGTGGATGCTGGAGCACACCACCAAGACCCTGAACCCCAAAACCTCAATTTACACTTTTCCTTTTTGTAGTAACCAGCAGGAAGAGAAGAGTGGCCCTCAGAAGAGGGGTACATAGAAGTCCTGATGTAGACTTAGAAGCTCTCAACACCTCTAAATAGCAATACCTAATATAGAGTCACAATTCTGCAGTTAGAGCATATCCAGCGTTAAGTAAATGATGACATTTGCAGATCTTTGCAGGAAATATTAAAAGCTATGAGATATTTACATGTGTGAAATGGCAGGTTCCAATCATACACCATAAATAGTCTAAGCATGTAACTCGCAGTAAGGAGAAGATGAAGCAAGAATGACTGCATGAGTTAACTTAGAAATGCCTGTCAGACTCCTGTCTATTGTATCATGACAGTTACTTCTTATCTCTGTTCAGAGGCACTTACCTCATACAAAATCAGTGTTCCATTCTCTGTATGAAAAGAGCAGGACACATTTTGACACATACCACAGCAAGTATCGTGACTGAAGGAAGGAATATATACTTGATGCTGGAAAGAAAGGAAAGGAAATAGACAAGCTAGTACTTTTTAAACATACATTATATGAAAATTCTTTGATTTCTGAAAATAAAAACACCAAGGAAAACAATGGATGGATGGATGGATGGATGCATGGATGGATGGATGCATGGATGCATGGATGGATGGATGCATGGATGGATGGATGCATGGACAGTTAAGACAGATTTGTTTACATAGGCTGCTAGAAACTGCCTCTCAAAATAATTGTGCAGACACATGATACACATCATCACTGCTAAATTCTCAATTCTTGCTGAGTAAACAGGACTAGCAAAAGTCTTCACTAAAATTTTTATCCTAGTTGTGCAGTTGTGTTCACAAATTGCATAATTCCTGTATTTTAAGAATACTCACGGCTTCACATTGCTGGGAGCAGTTCATCATTGTGAAATGCATGGCATTGTAGCCTGTGTTCTGATCTTTTTCTTGTAAACACTGTACAGTGTAACAAAGGTCTCCATCCAAGTACTGAATCACTGACTGCCCAGGATTCAGTACTGTGACCTCTTGGAAGATGCACACATCATCCTTCTCTAAAACCAAAAGAAATTGATTTTACCAGAGGGGGAAAAATAATCTTTAAACAAATTAACAGAAGCACTGGTAAGACAGAAGTAGGGCAAATTCCTATTCACTGCAAAAGTATTCTATCTTTTAGACTAGATTGGTTTGTGGTTTTAGTTACCAAACAAGATGGGGAGGAATGATAATTCAGTTTTAGAAAATGCTGCAAAATGCAAAACTGCCTAAAACTGATAGTGTTCCTACTACAGAAGTAAAAAAGTCTGTTGTTCTTAGTTTAAAAGTATTCTAATATTTATCATTCAGCTATTCTGCACATCACACAATGTGGCCTTTCTGCCAATTAAACCACTCTGCAAATACCTGTGGTCCAGTAATCTGTTCAAGCTGTACTGTAAATATGTGCTTGGCTCTTGGAGGCAGTTCAGTCTGGGCTGCTGCCAGGACTGCAGCTTGCCTGTGCACCCCCATGCAGAGTGCAGCTGAAATTGGCTGTACATGGGTAGCTGAGTGAGGGAAGGGACCAGAGCTCTGATCTTGATCTGGCTACCTCCTCTTGTGCTGGCTGAACAGGTCTGTTGCTCTGGGCAAGATTTTGTCTCATTTGTGTTGAAAGCAGACTAGGAGCAGCTGCCCTGCTCACACTCAGCTACTGTTCACAGCCTGTTTCCTTCTTGTCTCTCACCAGAGAGACGTACCTAACTCTGAAAGCATGGGCAGTTCTACAACACTCCCACACTCTGCCATAGCAGGCACAAAATGGATGGCATAGCAGGCAAAGGGCCATATTCAGAAAATAAAGTATCATTGCATAACTACAGAGACACACATCAAATTAAGATAAAAGAGCATTTACATTTGAGAAGGTGACAATGACCTTAGTTCTGCTTTCTTTGCACACTCTTTTAGCTAAAAAATAAAACACAATGATGAGGAATATAAAAAGTTACCACAAATATAGTGAGTGCATCCACAAGCACTGGAAACACTGCTATCTATTTTTTTAACTTCTCCCTGTGTACAGAAAGATAAAAGTTTGCAAAGTCATGCACAATTAAATGTAGTGCTACACAGACAATTTTTCTCTAAAAATGTAAAATATTACTTTCATTACTTCCACCCCTGGTTTCATAAAAGAGGAAAATTGCCATGTATTCAAGAAACAGTAGCATATTGAGAGTTATTCAGTGTATTTATCTCTTAAAGCAGAAAACATCATTTTCTGTAGGGGTACATAGAATAGCAGAGTCAATAAACAGCATTTTTTTCATGAGACACAAAATTATTTCTGTAATAAACATATTAGCAAAAGATTGCCTCCTAAGGATTTTCTTTCAAAAGATAGGTGAAAGCTATTTAAATCTAAAATTCCTTAATAGACTTTACGTAATGCTGTCTTCACATGAGGAACAAAACTTCAGGCATTGGATAAGGAAAATATGGTCACTATAGCATTAATGGGAGTTTGAACATACAGCCATATTTTTTTTCCAGATCACATCCCTATTATGAAAAACTACAGGAGGAGCAAAATATTCATGACTGCTCATATCAGCAAAATTAAACAACATTAAATCATTTTAATCAAAAGCATAAATTATTAACAAAATGACACATTTCTTCAGATGATACATATAATCATATAGCTCATACATCATTAATTATTTTTAAATGTGAATTATTTATGTGGAAAGCCTTACTAGCATATTGTTTCATGTCAACACTGAACAGGATAAAATTACAGTTGCTTTTTTTCTTTTTCCACCTTACAGCACACAAAGTGAAATTTCTCCAAGGAATGGTTGACAACGCTGTGCAGACACTTGGAATTACATGCTTGAGCTGGGACTGCAGGGCAATCCCACCCTGTCCCTGTTACTCTTTACAACTGAAACAAGGAGTGCAAAAGAGAGGAGTAAATCAGCTCAACACCATTACTAATAGTTTTTAAAAGACATCACGTACCAATTTACAGGTCAGCATGGTAGCATTTTCACAACTACATTCTGAGGAGATAAAGAAATCTGTGTTAATCAATTAGCTAACTATTAGTTTTGGTTAAGTGTTGTCACTAAAGAATAAAGCAATAATTACCACAGTGCCATTCTGGACAACATTGCCCGAGTACTTTTTCCTTCACAGGCATCATGTCATCTGTGCAAATCATAGGAGGCTCAGAACAAAGATTTTCGTCACAAACTAAATGAGGGGGAAGACATATAAGAACTCATTCAACTTCCCTTCATATTTTCCAGCTTACATTACTTTTGATAAACTATTTTAAAAATAATTTTATTTTATATAAACGTTATTGTGTTTCTTAAGTATCTGAACTATACTTGGAATGAAAAAGGAAACAAAAATTTTCAAAAGAAAACAACCACGACCAAAGACATCTAAAATCATAATATTTGGGAAACATAGACTTGATACGTACTGTAAAGTGCACTTCTGTAAGATAACAGGGAGCAACTCCCCTCCAGGTATGATGCTAATAAGAAAATATTGCCTCCCTTATCAGAAGCAGTTTACTGGCAAGCACTAAGATCTAATTTTCTCCCTGCCAGAAGTGGGAAAAAAACAATGCCAGAAGGTCTTTGCAGAAAATTTCACCTGGGTAAAACTGCTATGAAAAGGAAAGGACCAAAATACAGAAACAACCAAAGTAAAAGTTGCTAAACTGCAAAGTTAGTGGAAGTCAATTTAATTATGCAAAATTAGCCTGAAAACTGCAATAGGATGAAAGATAATCTAAATTAAGCAGTTGTACTTTTAGATGTTACTTAAAAATATATAGCACAATTTATGTGTTTTATGAGACTAGGAAAAGGACTAAGTTACACTGCAAATATTTTTCTTGTGCCTGCTCATTGTTTGAAGAGTAGTCAACCCAGCAGTATTGGAAATCATTGGTCTACTCCTTCCCCTAGGAGCTAAAAGTGCAAGGAAACTGCCTAAACATTAGTGACTTGTACAACAGAGGAAACCCAGCGTGGAAGCTGTTTTATTAAATGTGTTATAATATGTGAAAAACTGTATATTTGTACTCCAAGGATAGGATACAGGGCCAGATTAATATATTGGTATTTAAATCACTGTGAAGACAACCATAATTCTGTCTGGTGAACTGAATAACCTCTCCAGACTCCACTGATGAGGTTTGTTAGACCACCACTGGGCATACCAAGAACTTTGTGTCAAATTTGGTACCTCTACACTCTCATTTCGACCTCTCAGGCTGTACCTGAAGCCCACTCTAATTGCCAAACCTAAACAAATTCCTGCACAGCCATGCACTGTCATTTTTACTGAATTTGGTGACATATCAAACTCTCAGCAGTTACACTCACCACAGTAGTAATGAGGACAGCAGTAGTGTATGGTATTAAGGTCTACAGTGAGAATTTCCCCTTCACTACACAAGGGAACAGGTTCAATACAGGATTCACACACTAAATAAAAAAAACCAAAAAACAGTCATGTACAAAGTTTAAAATAGTAAAAAGTTAGCACATGTGAATTCCATCTAATTGACCATATAAAAAGTAATACTGCATTTGTTACTCTGATAATAGAAATTTTAAGGATTTTATGGATTTTAAACCTAAACAAAGTTCAAATATGATGTTCAAAATTTTGTTGGAAGAAAAAAGATCCCCAAACCCAAGAATAATGATCCTCCAGTCCACCAGATCTGTGTGAAGTCTCACTCCAAGAATTCCAGCCTTGGGTTATTTTAGAATTATAGTCTGGTTTTGTAAATATTTGACTATTCCTTAGCTCTCCATAAAAATATTTGAGGCGTCTTACCACAGAGATGAGAGAAACAACAGGGATCTTCCTGTTTTGCCTCAACAATAAACTGATCTTCTCTGCAGTCAGGCTGGGAGGCATTGAAACAAACTGAAGGATCACATTCTGTAGGATGTGAAACAAACATTGTTTTAAAAGAAGTCACTGAAACAATATGAAAAAGATAAAGAAAATATATTCTTCATGTGCTAAGTAAAATAAAATACCCCAAATTTACTGTAAATAAGAAGTAACACAAAACACAAAGACAAAAAAACCCACTAGAGAATGTTTAAAAAAACATACATCACTGCCTGGTGCTATTTACAGTCCTATTCTGTTAACAATCAAGACAACTTGAAATGCAAATTTTCGTCCAACATATAATACAAGTATGAAAAACTTTCCACAAACTGTGGTTTTGTATTTCCCTTACCACATCGGTACTGTGGGCAGCAGGACAGGGGGTGGTAGCCTACCACTAATTTTTCATTGGGTTTGCATGTTGGAATAATGGCATCACACAATGACATGTTACATTCTGTGGGATAAAAAACAATTTTGATGTCTTTAGATAGATACTAGTGCAAGTCCTGTAGTTCAGGCTATTTATACCATCTAATGCAGAGATCCACAAAACAAGAGCAGCCCAAGTCAGCTTAAGTTCACTCCATACCATCATGTAGACTTTTGTGCTCAACCCAAGCAAGCAGTAATATCCCTCTCCAAACTGGTAGTTACTTGCTCTGCTCCCTGTGCATGAAGCCAGCTCTAATGTCCCACTGATATTCCTTGAGCAAATTGACAATACAGCATTGGTTACAGGCATCTAATAAGTAAAAGCACCACATCAGCTGGACCATATGTTCTCATTTTCCTTGAATATGTTATGAAGAAATCAGTATATTTTTCTTAGTATTTTAGGAGCAATAAGCTTATTCTTTTTCTTAACAACCATGGCTAGGCAGAATATTAGTATTCAGTGATCAGCTCCCAGAAAAAATCTTCTGGGAAACAGCAATAGATCAGACACTGCTCATCACACCAAAGTACTAGAAAGAGAAGCAAGCAATCTCTCATGACGTCCCCAAATACCAAGATACTTCTATCACTGAATAAAAATCAATTTATTATTAAATTCTATGCAAGAGCTTTAAAAATATTTTTAACAGAATTTTTGTTGAACTGGTGGACTTCTAAGAAAAAATTTCAGTAAATAATTCTTATAATGAATAGAAGCCTCAATTTCTGGCCTAACCAGCCACAAGTACTTGAAAATTCATTCTAAAAAATGTTACCTTGAATCTTAAGTTTGTCATCTGCCTGTGAATGTGAAGCACTTATTTTATACTTCTGTTACAGAGAACAAGTTTGGTACATACCACAAACTTTCTTGGGACAGCAAGCTCTCTCTTCAATGACATGGAGTAGAACTTCCCCTTCTCTTTCACAGACTGGTGGTGGATCCTCACTGCACTCAGGTTCTACAGCAATAATGCTTCCATTTTCTAAACAGCTGTACATGCAGCACCCTCTCATGGACCCATTCCAGATCTCCCCAGTAGAGCGGGGTTGTCCTTTATTATCTGTACATGCTGGAAGAGAAAAAGAACCCTTTCTATCCCTTCAGCAAGCAGACAGCTCCCATTTCCTGCAAGCAGCTGTGACTTGCATAAAATTATTGCATAAAAAACTATGGTTGTGGAGCATTACGGTAAGAGTCCAAGAAAGGATGATGACCTTAAAAGCCCCAAAGGAACAAATGCTTTTCTATGGGTAAAAATGGGTGAGGGCAAGGGACAGAACCTGCCCATGTTATTCCTTCCTAAGTTCCCAAGGGAGGAAAGCCTGGGAGCTATAGAAGAATGGCCATCACTTTTCCCCCAGCAGAGGTACATCAGCACCGGCTCTTAAAGCCAAGTTAACTGAAAGCACAAACTGCTGTAGCTTGAGAAATGTTAGGCTCTGTTGAAGGGTCCTTTACCAGATTCACATTTACTGGGGATTGACACAGAACTTAAGCTTCTCTCTTACCATGAACTGTTAATATAACTGGGGTTAATATGATCATAAGTGCAAAACTACTCTGTCCTACTGTACTTACTGCATTTTTCTTCTGGTATACAGAGGTCTGAGTCTGTTCTATGCAGAATGGTGCCGTTTTTACACACACAGTCTTCCCTTAAATAGGAACAGGGAGAATCCTCATAGAACCATTTATTCAAGCATGTCTTGGCTTCACAGGGTTGCACACAAGGCTGGTATTCCTTGCCCTCAGGGCAGCTCAGTGCTGCAAGGAATTAAGAAAGGATATTGAGTGTTTCTGTATCCTTTCAGCATTTCATTGGTTAAACAGGTTGTAATAACAAGTGAGCACAGAAAGCACACATTTGTACTTTAAACAGTACTTTAGGTAAGCAACAAATTCAATAGAGATTAAAATTAATTCATGACTAAATTATGTATTCTCATCCTAAGAACTTGTACCCTGATTTACCAACACTGTGATAAAATGAGATTTTACTTAAAAGAATAATAGAAAGAAATATAATTTTAACTTATCACTAGAAGACCTCGTCACTAAAGCCACATAAGCGTACAGAATATGGCTATCTGCTTACAACAGTAATTAGGTGTCCTCCATTTAATGCAGATGTTGTGCTTGTTGCATAAAGCCACATATGCAGAAAGTGCATCACACTCATAGTTCCAAAAATTAGTACTGTTGATCCACATCTTCTCACAAAATTCCTGTGGTGACACCTAGGAACATATTGAAATTGGGAATTAACAAGTATAAGGACTTCCTGTAACTAAAATAAATCAGCAATTAAGATAAGTAATACAGCCCCAAGGGAAAAAATCACTAACAGTGTCTAAATTTAAAAATATCTTTTCTGTCAGAACACTCATTCTGCAAAACTTAAACTGCCAGATGTAGTGAGATTTTTATGTGACAATCTCATTAAGACTGCATTCTCTCTCTATTGATCAGCATAAAAAAGTACTGATCATTACTTTGAAGAGCTTTTCAGCATAGCCCTGTCAACTAAAATTGAACAATCTCAGCTAAACATTGCTGCTATACCTTCAATACAATCCTGCTGTGAATGAATTACCTCTTACTCTGTTTCTGTGCCTGTAGGACCTGATAACCTATTTTACACATCTATCTCTCAGAAAGAAAGGGCTCCTTGAGTAATTAATCATTTTTATTTTTAATTAAGTTGGAAAAGTCAGTTATACCTCAGAGATTTGGGGCTTCCTCATTTGCTGTTCTGGAAAGCAGATGTGCTGCACTACCAACCTCTAGTGACCTATAGAGGTCTACTCATCTCTATAGCTGCATGCTACAGCTAGATCCCCATTAGAAAGTACAATTTGTAGAAGTAAATTCTAATTATTTCTGTAAGAAATGCTACAAAATTTTCAACATAATATTGGCTATGTCAAAATATTTTAACTGGAAATTTCTTTAGTCCAATAAGTCTGCAACTGCATGAATCGCTGTTGTGCAGAGCAGAAGCATGAGGCTTTCTGTTTTAGTGATCCTCATCAAGCATTTAATAAAAATAACATCTCTGGAACATGTTTATCTTGACATGATAATCCAGTGTGTCCCCTTCGAAAAATTCCCATTAAGTAATTTCAAAAAACAGCATAATAGCACAGGGATCAAAATAAATGTGTGTTTTCATTGGACAACATGGCATTTCAATGGACCCATTCCACTGTAAAATTATAAAAATAAGCAAAACATTAAAAATGTGCATGTACCAGTCACTCTTTTCTTAATTATACAGCTATTACATTAGTTGGTCCTGCAATTTTTCTGATCCTCATACTCACTTTCTTATGACAAGGGATGAAAATGCTTCTGTTTAACAGTTCCATACAGTATGTGCAGTTATCTTCAGTACAGTTTCTTACTGGCCTCCTAGTTGTTACATCAAGTGATTTCTCAATTTCCCAGCTCTTAATGAACATTTCAATTTCTTCCATATTTGTAATTATGGTCATGTTTTGCATTTTCAGGTCATCACTAGGATCTCCATTACACACCCCTGGGGACAGAGCATCGTATTCAAAAACGCACAAACATTCCTTCATTCAGGAAACAAAAACTACCTGATCAATTATGATCAACACTGCATCAGGTGACCTGTGAAACTCAGTCACCTGAGTAAATAAATTAAAGTAGCTGTATGTCCACTGTAGTTCCAATCTCCTGCTTGTGATTTTAGTTCTCAGCTCAATGGCTTGCTAAAACAATTAGAACTCATTTTACCTTTAACAGCAATTAACTTTTGAGAAAAACTGCTACCAAAATGTGCTGCTGAGTGTATCAAATTCACTGACATGGTGCTAGATTCTGATCTCATTCTACTGAATGGCAGTCAGCTCCTTGGGAGTAATAGTAGATGGTTTTGAGATAAATTGCTCATCACCAATGATTTCACACTGTATTGAGATTTAATTGAACATTCTAAGTGCAAGAAGTTATAAAAGAATCTTTTGATGAACAAATTGCTTTATCTAGAGAAAATATTGTTCTTACTGAAGTTATTAATGCAAAGCCACTGTAAAAAACTACCTTCCCAGACCCCTGGCATTCATTGTCTACCTGAATTCATTATTCTATTGATACATAAATTAAAATACATGATCTCTTTAAGTGTATTACAAGTGAGTAATGCCAAAATTTAATCTTCATACTAGTTTTACATCTCAGGAACTGATCAGGCAAAGTTCCTCTCTTGTTTCCACTTTCCTTCTGCACTGTTAAACATACCCTAAGACCTTGCCCTCCTGTTTCCAGCCCTGCAGTCTGATGCTCTCCAGGGTCCTTTGTTAGAACTGGACTAGCTTGGTGTGGCAGGCTATTATTCCTTCAGACAGCATGGAGAAATACAGAATGTGGCATTTAAATAACAAGTGTTTTACAGTAGTACCACTTTCCTGTACTCTTAGCTCTTCTGCTTCTTGCTGCAAATCACAAACTGCTGGCAGTAGAGCTTGTAAGGCCATGCTGCAGAACTGCAGAATCAATATAGCTTTAAAAATAAAGCTAATTTACCACACAGTCCCACAGCTTTTTCTGGTATGAGAGGAAGAGGATTGCAGAATCCCAGACAGGGATAAACAGTAGAGGACAGGAAAGAAGCACTAAAAAAAACTTCCAACTTTACTGCAAAATATCAGGTAGTACAACAGTATTTTAAGCTAAGTTTGGATTTGTCTGCATAGTCTTCCTCTTTTTGTCTTCTCATGACACAAAGAGGAACTATTCTATAATTCTTTCTACATTTGCTCTCATCTTGTCCCATTCGTTCAGCATGCATAGAGAAGATGGCATGATACTGGGAAAAGATGCAGGGCCAGTCTTCCCCTTCTCTCAGTAGATTTAGGAGAAGTTTCCTTTTGTTCAAGCAGAAGACAGCAATTGATTTTAAAGTCTTGGTTTGTTTATGTTTACGCTTAAAGCATATCTGAATTGCTTTGCTTGCTTTTAAAACTAAAAGCAGTTTAAAAGATTATAAGTTAATTTCCCTTTTTAATATGAAGGGTTTGTAAAATTACAAACCACTAGAAAATGAAAATTTATTATAAAATTAATTTTTAACCACCTTATACTTTTATATCATTACTTGTACTTTTTCATATTATTCCTTCTTTTATATACTTCCTTATACTTTTCCATAGTATTCCTCCTGGCAAAGTGATAAAAAGGCTTCAGGGAAGCTTGAAACATACTACATTTGCTATAATTGTAATTCAAGACTGAGACACCCCAGCACAGTTTTGGACCTTAGACTCAGCCTCAAGAGGTCCAAAATCAGATTCTTAATTTACTGTCCTCACAAGACTTGGACCCTTCCCAAGATACAACTTTTGTCAGTATTTTCATAGCAATAAGCTGCCACTGCTAACATCAGACTTGTCTCCATATTCACTGAAATATACTATCACTACCTGAATTTCTTTAGCATCCACTTCTTCACTAAAAGTTGTCTTTTTATTTATTTGGCTTCAGCAAAACTCTTAAAACAGGCAAAAATAAGTAAAAGGAACCAGTAATTTTTTTAAGGTTATTTGGATACAATGTGCTGATCACTACTTGTTCTGGAAAGTACTTTATTAGCACACAGTGCTTTCAAACAGAAGATTAATTTATTATTAATTAATTAATAGTATTTCTCAGGCTCTCACATAGGATTGTCAGCATAGTTAATGAGGGTCACATCGAGAGCTATAGGGACACCTGGTTACAGACACAAAAGGGAGTTGCAAATTTCAATTGGGAAGTTATTGAATAAGAAAAAATTGCCACCATGGCCTCACCACAAAGTCCTTCTGTCTTCCTCGTTGTGTTGGAGTCTAATCCGTACTGTATATCTATGATGCCTGTAATGTGAGCCCACTTGATGCTAATCCCACCTGGGGTATTAACCACATACATTGCACCAGTATCCTGAACATTCAGTCCTTCTCTTGAAAATGGTAATGGTTGAATTTCAGAATCTACAACTACCTAAAAGAAACCAAACACATTTTAGAGATAAAGCCAGACTGCAATGATGTATTTTATATGTATTTCCATTTTATAACAAAATACTATTTTCACAGCCTCTGCCACATATAACAGTCACAGTGCTTAGAGAGCTTAACACTCGTGCCACTTCCAAAAACTGCAAATGAAGTAGGCATGAGGAAAAAAAATCTTTTGTAATTAGTGAAAGAATAAATCTTATTTATCACATATCATATGATGAAAGAAAACCTCATTCCAATTATTGAAATTCATCTGTTGTGACTTGTTACTGACTAGCAAGGAAAGTAGCTTAAGTATTTATCATTTCTAGGGTTTCTGGAAATATAGTCTCAGGCATAACTGCTTTTGTAGCCTCATTAAAATCTCAAAAGAACTTTAAGGTGACATGGAAAAATGACATTTAAGTGAAGCATGGTACCAGAAATGTGAATTGTTTATTTTGCCTCTGGTACACCATGAATTATCGGAAACCTAGTCTACAAAAGTAATCCTAATCCTGTAGGGTTTTATTTTAAATCTGATTTATCACATTCTACAACAGAACAGCTTTCCAGCTATTTTTTGAGCATACACATGCTGTTGATAGATACTTACTTTTCTTGCTAAACGATTGATAAGTATTTGACAAGTGTGTGTTGTGACATTTAATTTCTTAAAACAGAGCCCTGAAGTGTTTGCAGGTGGCACCTTGAAAGAAAAGTGACAAGGAAATTGAGTTACTGTTATTTGTCGAATTCTGTACCACTGCTATTGGAATTTTTTATATTAATTAAATATATTTTATACTAATGCATTTTAAAATAATCTAAATAAGCAAGTACTTACTAGTTTTCTTATTGAATTTGCACTCTGGAAAATATTAAAAATAAATTAGAAGTTCAATAATAATCAGCAGCATTTTTATAAACAAAGATGAATTACCTTTTTCTTTGTTGTTAATGTTCTTCTACAATCAGCTAAATAATTAAACTAATATATTTTATTATAAATAATAAAAAATACAAACTTTTAAGCTAATTTAGTGCATATGCTGAAAGGTCCTTTCAAATTACATTTCTTAAAGAACTAAAGTTAGAATTAAAACTACAGACTTCTAAAGCTCATCTGCATGTGTTCTGCATTCCCACCTCTAGACTGCAACCAGGAAATGAGAGCAATTTAATAGAAAACACCTAAAACAATGGAAGATTGTTGCCTTTAACTGTTTCCTCCTGAAAGGAGACATGCATTGAGAAGTTATGTCACCTCTGATAATTCAAAAGGAATATACATTTAAATTTCCTTAGAACACAACAATTACTATTTAACTCAAGATAAAATTCTTTTATCTAGACAGAATTATTAAGCATGCTTCTCGAAAATTAAATAAATTGGTATTTAACTGAGTGTGGCTTTTATTTATAAGTTTTAATTGACGTATTTTTGCATAATTTCAAACCTCTTACACAAAAATATTCAAGGAACAATTATAATTATTGCATGAATGCAAGAACCTTACCTGATTAGCAGGACATTTTTCAATATGAGCAACAATAATTTCTCCTGGTAACTTGACTAAAACATAGGAAGCCATATTACAGAGGGCTATGTTGTTTCCATCAAATGTAATAACACTCAGTTCTGACAGTACAGAACACTGACCTAAAAAAGAACTGTCATTTAATGAGGTTACCACAAAACTAAATACAGAGTATTTTTAAAAACTTTCAGTTCTAGCATTATTTGCTTTTGCACATACATTCATAGATAGATAGACAGATCACCTTGTTCTGCAGACAACATATTGAGCCGTAAGCCTATTTAAGTGTTTAGGTTACTCAGTGGAAATACCTTAACCTGTTTCTGTGTGCCCAGGGTATGGAAAAAATTTTAAATTGGTGACAATTTTTACTTAAGTCAATGTTTTACAGGCAAGGTTAATGAATCTGCACAATGTGAGATAAAATATATGCATAAATATATATCTATTTTTGAGATACTGACAAGGAACTTATCTACCTTATCTTGAAAAAATTATAAAGTGCAATATTGGTTTCATTGATTCTGCAAGGTTTTCAATATGACTTCTCTTGAGCCTTTTTTTTCCCTTGGCAGGCTCATCCGCCAGTTTCTGCAGTGTCTAAGCATGAATAAAAACTGCAATTAGAGCTAAATGAAATATGGGGTTCTGTCTTTCACAAAAGCTTGTATTTAATTTATTTTTCTTCATAAAATGTTGAAATCTTAATATTTCTACTGAGAAAAACTCTGAAAAGTCTTAGCTGAAAAATACTGGTATTCATGCTGGAGATGTCATTTCACTGTTTCCATTAAAAAGAAAAATATTTTCATTCTCCAGGACACCAATTCAAAGGTACCAAAATGTTCAGTATATTTCATTCTGCCTTGCTGATGAATAGCTCTTTTTAATTAATTCCAATATTTAACCTCATATTCCCATTGTAATAACCCTTTAATTTATTACTTGACATTTACAGATCAATGCTCCATATTTTATTTAAAAATAAAAGAGAGACTTACAGGGACATTGCCATTCTGGACAACAGCTGTCAGTGTTAACTTGAACAGGCATTCCTCGAAAACCACAATCTGGCTTCTGCACATCCTTAGGGCAGTTCCTTGAAAGATTGTATAACATCCAAGCCGTATTCACACATACATACTGACTACATTTGTCAACAGGTTCAAGGTATCTTGGCTGCCATATAAGGAAAAAACAACCAGAGTCAATTTTAACTTCATTGGCCTTATGGAGTCCAAGCCATGACTTGTCCACCCCCCAGCTCTCAGAGAAAATAAGCACATCTACCTGCCCCTCATCAGGTATTTTGGAATGACTTGCATTTGTGTGGTTGTAACCAGTGACAATGGTGCGTGTCCATTCACCCACACCCACATTGTTCCATCCAGTTTTAGTGGAATACTCTATGTAAAGCATTATGCATTGAGCGTACATGTTATAATCAGTTATAATCTGAAGCATTTTAAGAAACACAAAATCATGCATTCCCATAATTTTAAACCCTATGACAAAGAAACAAGTGGAAGAAGGAAAAACGGGGTAAGATTACTCAGAAACATCAAAATTCCAAGGATTGTGGCTTTTTCAGCACCTCAGAAATATATTTAGCTATCTAGAAAACTCATATATCTTCAAAGAATTTTTTTCAGAACAGTATATCCAACTTACAGGATGTACCAAGGCAGTGTAAGAGCAGCAACAAAACTATCCTCTAAGAATAACTGAGAATTTTAAAACAAGTAAATTAAATAGAAAATATGAACTGATTTAAATCTTGGGTATTACAGATGTAGAATAACAGAATGGACTGAAAAGAAATACCATACAGGGGAAAGTAAGAGTGATCATACCACACACTCAGAAGATGTAGATATCAGTGTGTGCATCATCTGCCCAAAGTAAGCCTTGTCATCTACAGCCATCGTTTCTGATGAGGAAGGCAGAGCCATTCCACCACTAGAAAGAGACAAATCTAGTATAGCTCTGGTTTGCAGCTCTGTGGCCTCTGTTACACTAAAATAAGGCGTAATGGGCTTCTGTGTTGAGATTTTGGACGTATCTGATGTCATTACATCCAGGACTCCAGAAATAGAGATATTTTTGACTGAGGTTGTATTTCTTGAAAAAAGCAGACTCTGAAGTGCGGTTACTGGCAAATAAGGTGGGGAAGATTTGTCAGTTGTGGTTGTAGCATTTATCTTGGTAGCATTTTTTTGCTCATGTGACATCTGACCATCTTCTGAAATATCCACAGTGTTTTCAAATGAAGTTGTATATTTAATTTCTGATGCTATGTATGAGGTACTCTTCATCTGTGATAGTGGATTCGTAGTACCAGTTGTTTTCATTATATTAATCTTTGGAGTTTCTCTAGTGCTCTGTGAAGCTTGAGTTACTGCAGTTGTAAATAAAGATTTGTGTGTTTCTATGGTGGTAGGAACTGAAGCTGAAGCCATGTAAAAATCCAAATTGACAACAAAAGAATCAGCAGTTTTTGTAGTAATCCTTGAGGCCAGGGTGGTGGTCCCTGAAGTAACTAATAAACTGGCTGAAGAGCTAGGTAGCATTTTTGCATAAATATAAGGTGCTTTTGAGGATGTAGCATTCACTGTTGTGTTCCTGATCATTGGTGTAGTGGATTGAGTGATGATTCCAGCTGGTATGGCTGATATTGTTCCTTCTTCTCCTGAAGAACTTACCGAAGAACTCTGCTTTCCTAAAGAAACATTAGAGATATGAGTGGTCTTAGGAGGAGGTGAAGGCATAGAGGGCTGGCTTTCTAAACTGATTTCAGAGGTGTTAGGTGTTAGTAAAGAGGGCATTACAATGGATGTTTTTAGTGCTGCTGAAAAGTTGGTAGAGAGACTTATTTTTAAAGTGAATTTAGAAAAATCCACAGAAGTTGCAAGATCTATAGTTGGAATTTTTGAAGTTCCTTGTGTATCTAGAGACGGAACTGATGCTTGGGTAGCACTTATATTTTGTGGTAGTGGGGATGTGCTACTGACTGTGGGAATCAATGAAGAACTTGTAGTCTGAGATGTCACATAAGATGGTTCTGATGTTGATAACAAGGTTGTAAGTAAAGATAATGACCTTGTAAAAGAAGGATTTTTGGAAATGGAAGTACCTGAACTTTGAGCCACAGGGTCAGTTTTCAATTCTGTATCTGAACTTTTTGGGTACTCTGTAAGTTCTGAAGTGGGTGTGGAATTTAGAGGTGATACCAATGTCCTGAGAGGGAAGGCTGAAGATGTAACAGATTTCTTTGGCTTTTTAGAAATAAATGATAATGAAAAGAGATTGGTGTGCATTATTTGCTTATTTTCTGTTGAGGTTTTACTCACTACAGACCTATCAAAGATTGTTGAATTGATTAGAGGAGTGGAGGCACTAGAAGGTACTGTATAAAAACTTTTGGAGGCAAGAGTGGCACCTGGCATAGCTTTGGGCTTCAGGGAGGTATACATAGAGTGGACTGGTGTAGATACTGTGCATGTTGCAGCACTTGAAGTGTTTTTAGGGATTTGATAAACAACTTGAGGTGAAGATACAGTCATTATTGGCAGAGCAGCAGAAATACTGCCCTTTTTTAATGAAGATGTCTGCTCTGGAACAGTTGTTGAAGTTTGCACTGAAGATGAAAGTGGCTTTGGAGGAAAACTGGTTGAAGAGCTAACATTTAATGATATCAGAGAAGTTTTAGACAAAGGTTTTGCTGTTTTGAAATATGAAACTGTGATTAATTGAGGAACACTTGTCTCGGAGCTAGAAAATCTAGTAGTCATAGGAATTTGAGGAGCAGCTGAAGTCAGTGCAGAACTGGGTGTTGGGTACACTGCAGTTTGACTAATGCCAGACCTAGTTCTAACAGGCAGAGTAGATATAGGAGAAGTAGACGTTCTTAGTGTCAGTCGTGGATCTAGAAGAAATACAGGTCTTGTGAAAGTTTCTCTGTCAGCCCCCAAGGCAGACAAAGACACTTCAGAGTGTGTTTCTGCTCCCTTAGAATGACTTACTGAAGGACTCCTACTCTTCCCAATCCCTGCAGGCAGCTCAGAAGTGACCAAAGATATCTTGGAGGCTAGAGTTGTTAGTGCTGAGGAAAGCCGAACTGTTCCTAGCTGAGTGGTTGATGTTTCGAGTGAAAATGGAACTACCACTAGGGAAGTGGGTGTTAATAATGCAGAATGTGCTGGAATAGGACTTGTACTGAGCAGGGCTGTTGGAGTTGTTATTGTAATGGGTAAAGTTATAGATGCATTAGAGCAGTCAGTACATGATGTGACTGCTGAGGCTTGGAAAAGAATTGGAAAATCTGTTGAAGGGATGGGTTTGGAAAGGACAGTAGGGCTGGCTGTGCTGTGAAGTACATCAGAAGGCTCCACTGTACTTGGTAAGGAAAATGTTGAATAGGTGGCTGCATTAGAAGCTTCCAATGAATAAAAGTCTGTAATGGACTGTGCTGACATATTCATTCCCCTTGAAGCTGTATTTGCATTTATGGTTATTTTGTCTGTCACACCGATGAGAGTTGATTTATTCCTTGAAGTAACAAATACAGGGAGTGTCTGAGGAAATCTCTCTGTGGTAGGACCCATGTGAGAGATTATCAGTGAAGGCTTCAGTCCAATGTCTGATTCTGTAGGTGTCACAGGTATGCCTAAAAGGAGAAAGTGTGTTTAAATGTCCTTTATGGATTATTAGTAAAGAAAAATAGCAAATCCATCTCTACTCAAGTCCCATTTAAATATTAACAAATCAGATCTTGCCAATGGTTCCGGGTCATCTGATGACTTTGAGGAACTCAGCTGATGTATTCTAAATGTTTTCTAATTTTCTCTGCAAATGAAGTAGTTCATTTTTTATATTGGCGAAAATCTTTATTTTGCAGAGCAATTTTGAAGCAACAAGCCAATTCCAGGGAAAATCAGTAAATCCAAAATAGTAAAATATTTGAAATAAGTATGTTACATCCTTAGAAGATAATATATGAGACAACTTTGTACCAGCAAATACCAAGCATAACATATTTGATTCAAAATTTGTACAATCAGATACAGTATTAAAACTAAATTTTAATATTAAAATAATACTCTATCCCATGGAATAAGGAAATAATATTATATCTTTACACACCAGAAATTATGAAATAGGTGAGCTGAATTTGTTAGTAGTGTGTCATCCTCTGAAAAGACTGAACTTTTGCTACAGCTGTATGTCTTTCATTTGGAATCTCTCCCTTATATATGTGTGATATACTAGCATTATATAGTCAAATATAGTTGCTCTGAGTATAACATAATCACAAAAGGTTATATATAACCCACTATTTGAGAAATATGAGAATTCAATGTAAAATATAACTTTTTGAATGAAGAAGCTGTAGTTTGGATGACTGGGAATGGAGTCTATGTCCAAGAGAAACAATCTTCAACACAAATATGTTCTGAGAAAGCATTTAACTTTAAAAAAATTACATTTGATTAATCCTTTCCTAGGATCTTGGAGTAATTTATAACAGTAGATCAACATAATAAAGTATACTCACAGTCTTCTGGATAAACACATCTAAGTGTGATCTCATCAAGGATCATGTTTTTGGGACAGTATGGCATGCATCCTTCAACCCTTCAAAATATTGTATAGTCAATTCTAGAGCCACAGTAGAATTATAAGTTAATTTTAAATTATTTTACTTTGTCTAAACAAACCATTAGAATGTCTTATCAGAGTTCTGAGGACTTTCCTATGAAATTATGAACATAGAATTTTGAGGCATTTCAAGTTCACAAAGTTATTTGGCAGCATAATTCTATTTCTAAACTGCTAATAATTATTTGCATAGGCTGATTAATATGATGTTTGGACCATTTTTCTTCCCCAACCAGGTGTAAGTTTATATCCTTAAACAGAAAGGTATTTCACAGAATGATGAACTTGTCTACAAGACTTTTGTTTTATCCAAATATGTTCATTTGAGATATTAAAATCTTTAGATCGACTCCATAAAGCCTTTCTCTTGTGTCCTTTCAACACAGGAGAATGCAGACAAATCACCATATTCCTTTTTCATTCTGGGGGACTTTTCAATGAGAAAATCATGACATTAACAACCAGTGTTCCCATATGGAAAAAATCTAAGAATACCAACAGAGAAAATTAATCATGTTTGTAGTATTACTAATTATAAATTGCATATACCTAGGGAGTCTGGAATCTAAAATATCCTTTCCTTTCCACCACATTGTGCCTTGAGCTTTTAGGCATTTTTCCTGTTAGTTTGCTGTGGTTTCATAGAGGCCAGGGGAGAACCACTGAGACAGGAAATCTGTTTACTTAATCCCAAGCTACCATCACCCCTCTGAAATCCCTCCCTTCATGCCAGTGGGCATCTCCCCGAATAAAAGTTCCATCTTTTAACAGGAGAGGGCGTATTCCTCCCTTACTATTCCTACAACTTTTGATCTCAGTCATATAAACACCAGAAAGATCTAGTCGTTTTAACATCATGGTGTGCTGGTTTAGGATGCAGCTATAAATCCACAGCCTTCATTTAATTTAACAGCTTTCTACTTAACCACTACCAGAAGCTAATCCTCTGGGCTAAATACAAACCTTCTTATTTTTGTGTTGGAAAGTGCATCTAAATGGGAATACACACTGTGGGAAATGAGAGGCTTGGTACAAATGATTTCATATGACTTGTGAGAGTTTCTCATAAGAATCATATTGAAATTTGTATAGTAAAACTAGATGGATATTGCAGCAGCAGTGATTTTCAGAAAGCATATGGTATGCTCATTACAAAAAACAATCCAGTAGTAATATGAGATTAATTTTACTTACAGGGGAAGAAATTTACATGCTGTTCCTTCAGGATCACTACATGTCTTAAAACAAGGATTAGCACAAGATTCATACCGCCATTCACACATCCTTCTGTAAGGCACAGAAGCACTGAGTTCTGAGAAGGAAAGAAAGGTGTTTTTTATTGATTCAGTAGTCAATAAACAATTTAAATTTACACCCTTTTCTATAACATACACTGGGATCTTCAGATAAATGAAAAACTGAAAACCAAATAGACAAAATTTTCAGAACTTTCCAATAGGTGAGATTTTGTTTCATTTCGAGTGTTTTAAATTTGTTCAAGCCAAAAGACACTTCAAGCTTTGACAATAAAAGCAGCTGTTAATTTTTACAATATACTCTGTTTCAAAACCTAAAAGATCAGTTAAAAATATTGAAGATACTCTTGGTTGCAGATGCAACACAATTACTGAATTAATTTAAAATAATAGACATCTATAGATTACTAATGAGATATTAACATACATTGTTTTGTGATATGCTACTTCCATTTTGAAAGAGCAAGCCAATGAAAACATAGTTCAACAATAAAGTGAACATCCTATCTGCAAAAGTTAGAAAATAATAGCATTTTGAGATGGAACGGAAGACAGAGAAAAATTAAAAATAGGATAAAATATTTGCTACTTTTGTTGATAGTAACAAATAGAAATACAAGAAAGAAAATGCTCTGAGGGCAAGCAGAAAAAGAATGTTTATCCCTGCAGATTTTGCAAAATTTACCTTCAATACTAAAACTACTGAAATGTTTGAATTCTTCCGAACCATCATACTTTTCCACTTTAACACTGGATGAGGTGAGAATGATGAAAAAGCCTTTTTTACTGTGCAGCTCGAAGGCACTGAGCCCTGGACTCCAGAGACCCTGGTGGTGGAAGAAGGTGGCTCGTCTCTGAAAGGAGGCATTTGCCTGCCACTGCTCCAACCCAATGGTTTCATTGTCATGTACATACAGAAAGTAGTTTGGTCTTTCAGCAGATTCAAGGGAAACAAGAGACAGAGCTTCCACAGAAGAAAAAAAATAATAAAAATGGTAAGATTTTCACAGAAAACAACTTGTAATTGAGATTAAATCCTTTATATTGGCTGCTAAGTGCCTCCTTTTTAAAACTGTCTTTTCACAAAAAAAAAAAAAAAAAAATCAGCTTTATGTTGCACAAAAGAGTGTTAGAAACACAATGCAGGGTCTAAAAGAGACTCCAAAGGATCATATAATCCAGAACCACCAGGGAACTTATCAGTAAGACCAAAATTGCATTCAGCCAACTACTACTAACCTTCAAAACTGATTCCTAAGCAGTCTCAGAGTGGAACTTGCATATCTTGGGAGCTTGTCTCAAGTTTGGACAAAAGTCTAGCAGTTTAGCAGGACCAAAATTTCATTAGTAAATAATACCACATTGTAAGAACATTGAGGTCAGGCTTTTTTTTATATGTAGTCATATCCAGAAATCTGTGGCCAAATAAGAGTCCTGACCTCTATTTGCTCTACCTGAGCTACAAATCAAAAAAATTCTCTGAAAATTTCTCTGAAAAAATTCTCTGAAAATTTCAGGCTTTATAGAAGACTGACTTCATACTCGATTTTCAACTTGCATATGGTCTTGAAGTTCTTTAATCTAGAGGAATATTGTCTCATCCCTCATTTCCATATGAAAGTCATCTGTGTACTGCACAGATATAATGAATTATTTACTTCCACTTTACATAGGGATTTGACAAGAATGAATTAAATCTTCTGCTTTATGTATTTTTCATTTTAAAATCACATCTAAAAACCTAATTTTCCCACAGCAATAAGCATTCAAATGTTTGTAAACTTAATTTGAAATTTTTCTGTGGAGACAGCCCTTCTTTATGTTGATTTTTGAGGGTTTGTGATTTTTTCAACACATTAAATTATTTGAAAAAGCAATGACAAAATCTTTATTGATTTAATTGGCACAATCTTCACATATGTGAAGAAAGAAAAATATATATAAAAGGAAAAACATTTAAACAGGTTTATTTTTGTTGTATAGTTTGGGTAAGTGTCTGATAAGTAAAACATAGAGCTTAGGATTAGCTGTTCACCTAAGAAACTACCTTCTATGTTCCACAGAGATGCTGCTTGTTAACAATGCAGAAATAGATAGATCATTCTGAGTTGCACATTTTCTAGGTCAGGAAAAGTAACAAATAAGGTGGAAACACAAGGTAGAACCAATTTTACTGGAGACAAAAATATCCTGCATTACCTTCAGTGTTGATATTTGCTATACACTTGTGAAAAATTCACCAGTTTCCAGTTATACAAACTAATTGGGTTTTTTCACAAAGTTACTCTATTCACTTGTATTTTGCAATACTTCTAAAATAATTTTTGAAAATTCAACTTTAAAGCTGGAAGTGAGGTTTTCTAATATTAAAAAATTTAAAATTTAAATCCCTCCTTCATTTTGAAATTGGCCACTTATTCCAAAAACTAAAAATATCTAGACTACTTTAGTACATTTAGAAGATGCAGCAAAAATCATTCATATAGTTTGACATACATATCTCACCATTAGCAAAACTGCTGAGAACACTTACATAAATCTTTATCTTTGAAAAGACCTGGAGTTATCATGAAACTGAAAATTACATTTCCATGTGCTCCAGTTCTAGGCAAGGGAAATATCCTTCTGCTGGATACATTAGCCCCTATAACTGTGTCATTCACTCCAAAACTTGCCAAAATATAGGGTCCTTCACCAAGACCTATGGGAAGAAAAATTTTCATCGCATAATATACAAAACTTAAGTCTTAATTTTCCTCTTGGTTTCACTTGGTAGTGAAACATGCATAACTCTGTCCTTGTCTTTAACCCTGACAGGCAGCTAAGCGCCACACACCTGGTCACTCACCACACACGTCACGAAAGAATCAGAGGGGAAGAACTGAAAAAAAAATAATGTGTGAAGATAAAGACATTTGAATCATAGTTTGGTTTGAGTTTTGTTTACAGAGAAACACGGAAAAAGAAAAGGAAACCAAAGAAAACAATTGTAAAAGGAAAACAAAGAATGCAAAGCAAAGTCAAAGCCAAAATTCTTCACCATCAGCTGACCAACATCTAGATGAACCATAAGCAATGCCAGTCTCAGAAAACTTCTCCTCCAATTTCTATTGCTGAACTCAACATCATGTGTTCTGCAACATCTCTCTTGTCAGCCAGGGTCAGTTGTCCCAACTCTGCCCCCTCTAACCTCCTGTGCAGCCCCAGCTTGCCTGCTGGTGAGAACTGGGAAAACCTTAATCTATGTAAGCAGTAGCTACAACACCACTGTCATCACAAATACAAAATATATTATTGAATTCATGTTAACTGAATGAAGAAAATTAGCCAAAACCAGTACTCCTTTCTACTTTTTTCATAGAGTCATAGAATAATTAAGGCCAGAAAAGACCTTTAAGAGCACTGCCATGATGTTCGCCATTAAAGCCATGTCCTCAAACCTTTCTGAGTAAGATAAAATTCCCTATTAAAAAGTAATTGGGAAGTCAGCTATACCTAGCAAGATGTACATGCTACTACTGTAGTAGGCCAGACTGGACAAGAAAAATATAATCTGTATAATGATCCTCATTATGAGATGCAAGTCATCCTAGTCATCAAACAGACACATTAAAATTCAGGTTCATTCATTCATTGCAATTAGTCAACTTTCCCTTTTCAATACCTATTGCTCCCTATAAAGTATGTGCACAGTATTCAAATATTAGAGGGAATGACACAGGAATTAATTCTGTGAAATTAATACCACTCTCATCCTAAGGCACTGTTCTTTTTACAGTACAGTATTGTGAGACATGTGCACAAAATCCCATAGCCCATCAATGTCCAAATAGTGTAGGTCCCAGCTCTGAAATGTACAGTACAAACACAAGGAAATGTCCTTCTAGAGCTCTCCCTGACTGCTACCATATGTTTTAGGATGATGGATTAATCCACCAACCCACTGAACATTATGAACTTATTAATGGAGGCATTAGGGATTGCTAGGATCATTCAACACAGCTGGGCCACCAACCTTCACTCATTAAAAATAAAAGTAATGTTAAAACTGCATACACCAAGTCAAAGAAAAAGCCCGTAAATTATTTGAATTTTTTAAACAATAATATCAAATAGTACATACCTTGGTTGTAATATTCACAGTCATAAGCTAAAAGAAAAAGAAAACAAGCCTATTATTTTTATTGTTATTATTATTACTGTTACAATTATTATTAGTAGTAACAAGAGAATCCATGTATTTCTGCATCCCAAAAATGTAAAGCTCACTTTCAGGAGAGGAAGTTTCATGTCCCATAAGATATTTCAGTCAGTGATTTTATTTTCTTAGAGTTTCATCCAGTGACAGCAGACCTGAAGCAGGAATTATTTTACAGCTAAGAACCCTTCTTGCTGTCAAAGAAAAGAACAGACTGGGTCTCTTTGGAGCCCTACACAGCCTTTCCCACAGCCTCTGCACCAACACACCCTAAGCACAGCCAGCCCTTTTCAGCAAGACAGTGAATTTGGGTGTGTAAGGATGACACAGCTAACACAGAGAGAGCTTGAGAGATGTGAACTATGTTTATTATCCACCTACTCTGCCATATTTGTATAACTGGGCAGGAAAAAGTCAGAGATGCCTGTGAGATGAGCTCTGGAGCATGGCCAGCCCAGGTACATACCACAGAGCAGAGGAGATCGCCAGTGAATCGCTGCTCCTTGCTGGCAGCACTTGTGGGCATAAGCTGCAATACTGGTACACAGACACTCACAGTCTCCACCAAGATTGCAGTTGCATGTGTCTGTGTGACAATTTTTGATAAAAGAAGTCACATCAATCTGGGAGGGGAAGAAACAAAAACAGCTGACTTAATTTCATGAGCTGTACATATTCCAGTTGCAGCAGGAGTTTTACTTCTGGGCTGACTGAAAGCACTAAACACAACAATAAGGTATTTTCCAAAGTTTGGGCATATTCCTACACAAATTGCACACTTCAAATGATCAGCTTATACCTAAGTTAAAGGTCAAAAGAAAAATTGAAACAGTGATTACAAACAAACATGCTTGTCCACACACTTGCTGTTCATCAATTTTAAAGAACTATTGAAGCTGGCAGTTCTGCTTTTATAAGGCAAACACTGCCATCTGTAGTCATCCTGTAAGTTTTGCATGAACAACAACAAAATCAGAGCTGTGACTCTGATTACCAAGTTATTAAAGTAATAATCTTTAGAGGGGAGATTTCCCAGGGGAAGAAAGCTTGGCGCCACTGGTGACATTGCACACAAAAAAGTAATATTTCTGCATTTATCAAGATTTTAATATAATTTGCCCACAAAACTTCATTAGATCAGAAATTCACATTCTCTAAAATCCTATAACAATATTTCATGATTTTACATGATACACTATTTCTTGAGTTTAAATCATCTTTTTTGTAATATTCAGCAACATTTCCAAAACAGTGTTCTTACTCAACACATGGACAGTTTAAAGCAATGCTTCTCTTCAGTTTAGTGTCTGGTCTAGCTCAGCTGTAAAGACTCAAATGGCACACGTCAGATTACAGAAATACCACCACAGTAACAAAGCACTACTTATCTAACATGAAGACAGCTTCTCAGCTGGCAGTAGCTAGAAGCTGGCAGGGACTGGATCAAGGGCAGAGAGATGTTATTGTGCTTTCATTCTTTTTCTTGTTTTGAAAGCAGGGATACCACTGGGGATGTGGGGGACACACATGAGAACTAGCTCCATTGAAAGTGACAGTAGCAGCTTTGTAGAAATCACCTAACGGCAAACTGGCTCCAAATATCTCAATCTGTCTCTCATGCCTGCAGAACAGCATCTCTCCATGGGTCAGCAAATTCCTGCTCTTGTAACAAACTGGGAGCCTTGGGCCAAAGATCCTGCTGTTTCAGGATTTAGGAGGAAGATCCTTTTTTCTCCATGTTCAGGCTCCTCAGATCCTGCTGAATTCAGTGCTTATTTGGGCAACTGCAATCCATCAGTTGCTGCTGGGCAGAGATGCAAGATTTTGTCTCCCTGCAAACTGGCATTGCAGCCTGAGTTGAGCTGCAAGGCCGCTGGTCCCACAGACAGGAGCTTGCCTGCATGCACTGCAGGATCTCCCACCCACACAGCAGGAGCGACAATAAGCACATTGGAAACCCCCATCTTTGTTTTCTGTTCTTTCCCTGCCCTCAGTGTCAGTCTCTGCTCAGGCTTTTTTCTTGGCACCCTGTCCCCCACCCAGCAGTCAGCTGCACATGCCCTTGATAGGAGGTCACTCACTGTATATTGCATTTGCAGGAGCTGTACTTTCACATGCTGATTAATGGGTTCTAAAAACACATGAAAGATGTTTGTTTTACAGACTCTCCCATACAAGATAGATGCACACATGCAGAAATACTTGACTACTAATTATATCACACGTTTTGCACCTGGCATAGATTTTTTTTAGATAATTATGCAAAATTTCTGGCATAATATTTGCAAATTCTAATCACAACATGGATAAGATATAGAAAATGAACATTCAAGGGAAAAGATCTTTCCAAGTTGTTATAATAATACAGTTTCTTAAAGACTCTCAAAAGTTCCATTTTTATTTATTATTTGCAGCTTTGAAAATATGCTCATCACTATGTTCTCAGGCACATGCACAAAAAATTCTTTACATAGTAACTTAAGTCAACATTAATAAATCCCTTGGGTTAAGCTACTGCAACCTCCTTCACAGGCAAATTCCTAACCATGTTGATATTCAGCTTCAGTCCTGAAAGTCAGGAGGTTCAGTTGAGACATCTAATGATCTCACTTAGTATTAATAATCATGAAGAAATTAAAGACTGAGATGAAATGTCATAGTGGTTCTTGCTTTTTCAGGTGTAAAGAAGCACCTAAATACCATTGGGAGGCTAAAATTAGAAATAGAGAAAAATGTATAAAGCACGTCTTGCATTGATAATGGGTGGATTAAAATGGAATAAAAGATTACCACACAAAATAGTGTCGTACCCATCTCGTCTAGACTGAACTGAAGGACATTCTTGTAACTTTTAACTCGTACTTAGCCAGATATTGGGAAAACAAGGGTATCAAACCTCAGAGTTTTGATAAAACCAGATGATAAGCCGCCAAACAATTAAAAAGCTCGAAAGCAGAAATCGTGCTTTGTCATATTTCTTTCTATATAAAGCAGGAAACAACAAAATAAAACCATTTGAAGTAAGCTGTAGGTGCATTACACATATACTTACTTTAGCATCCCTCAATTTATACAAATTTACAATTTGCAAAACTTAGCTTCCTATATAGATAAAAGGTATAAATAAAAACTAAAGAGGCTAGAACCTTGATTATTCAGTAGACTAATTCAACTCTGTTACCACTTTTATGTTTAGATTCCAGTCTTGAAAGGAACAAGGAGCTCCACACAAATATAGCCCACCCACACAGAGATACTTGCAGGGCTTTACTCTATATCCTCTCATTCAGACTGAGGGTATTGGCAAGAAGAAATTCATTACTGGAATTTGATTATTTTCATGAGAGCAATCTTGGATATTTAATAAACTTACCACATTGCGACAAGGTGCAAAAAGATCACTGTATAAAATTGAGCATTCCTTTTTTGCATAAGGGAACTTGCTCTGATGTACTTCACATGGTCTCAGTGTTTCATTTGGGCTCTTACACTTAAAAACAAGCACAAAACCCACAAATATTTTATAGGTAGGTGTGTTTATCACAGACTCAGGTACATCATAGTAGCATATAATTCAATACTTCCATAATCAGAAAATAAAAAATTTCAATTCTATCTTCTTCGTCTTCTTTCCTTGATTTGTTTTTATAATTGAAAACATTTGCTCTAAAAAAAAACTTTTTGTTTTTTTCTTAAGCACTAAAATGTTCCTGCTGTCTGCTCAGTGCATAAAGACAAAATGTTTTCTTTGTGACACATTATAATCATTACCAGAGCAACCAACTGTAACATCACAAACAAATACGTGGTCCAAATCCATCCTGGGTGGTTTTCACTGACTTTAAATGGAGTCATACTACAGATGGCTTTAGCTCTGTAAGTTCAAATAAAGAAGCAGTGGTAGGAAGGGAACAACTCATTAAAATATAGAGTCAAAGATCATCACGATAACTCAAAAAATGAGTGAGATACAACTGCATCACTTCTAGGATCTCTTCAAAAAGAAAAAAAAAGAACAGAAAAATATAGGAAAGGGACACACAGCTTGGAGAACACGAGTTCATCTGAAACCATGCTGTGTTGGTGCAGCAGGCAAGGTGGGTGTAATGCACCAGGAGAGTGTGACAATGAATGCACAGGCATTGTTGGGGTGTGCCACAGCAGCCTCAGCTGCAGGGCAGTCACCCACATATGCTGCCCTCCTGCGCAGGTGCTCAGACACTGCTGTGAGGATATGTGCTGCCACTCCCGGGAAGAAGGAGCCATTCACAGTGCTGATACAAGCACATTTCCCAGTAGCAGAGCTGGATTCTAGGCCTCCAGCTATCAAATATCCCTTTAAAGTATTTTGATTTTTCAGAAATGGTGACCAGGACACTTCTTTACCATAGGCCAAAGGCCCTTTCTGAAAAAATCCTGAAGGCCTACTGCAGGGGCAGATGAAGTGCCAAGTCTGTGTGAGCACAGCCAACCAGCAAGACCAAAGCTGAACTTACATCCTGAGCACTCTGGCAGACATAGAGATCAGGAGATAACATGGGATTTTACAGATATGTATCTCCACCAAAAAGTAAGGTGCAAGTCTTAACATCCTACAAGTTAATGAGCTATGCTAACACTATACATCTTTTTAAGGGAGCCACCAAATCAATACATTGAAAAAGAAAAATTAATGAACTTAATATCAAGTATTCACACATTTGTTTATGTAGGACCTTCTAGATGAGCAGTATAACTCTACACATTTGCCTTGCCTGCTTACGAAATTTAAACATTTTATGTAGAATAAAATATATCCAAAGGGAGATACTGAGGCAGAAAAGCCTCAAAATCTTTATTCCAAAGCATTCTTCCATGAGGTGAGAGATATTTGGTCCATTTCCTGCTGTGTCAAAGAGAGAACAGATTAAAAATTGGTCCTGAGAGTCATGCAAAAGGAGTGTGTTACAAATAATGATTTTTCAGGAGGTCCACAAGGCTATAAAACTTTACATCTTCTCAGCACAAATTAATGAAATACCTATTCTCCTACGTTATATACCAGAGTTGGACCATAAATGTGTGTTATAAACCATTTATAACACCAAATGGTGTTATGAACCATTCATTCCCTACAGCATCCTCCTACCTTCGCCTCAGAAACCAAGTTTCCATACTGGGTTTTGTCTGTTGCTGTTCTGAGCCTTTTCTGCCCATCCCTTCACCACCTTTGCTTTGTCAGTTTACTCTGTTTACAAAGTGCCACTAAAATAAATCTTCATTTTATTGTCAGTGTTTAGAAAGAAACTCTTCCAGGCCTCTTTTTTCCAGCATTCAGATTCTGTTTACTTTCAGTATCCTGATGCCTTCCAACCCAGAGAAATTACAATTGTTTTCAAATTGGGATGAATCAAAAATACCAGAAGCATTGTACCCAACTTTGTAGAACACTGAAATGCAGACAGCTATAATTGTCTTTCACAGAGGAAAGCATATCCTTCCCTAAAGAGATCGTTTGGTATCATTCAAATTCTGCATGACATACGATAATATGAACACATTTCATATCTACAGACACAAAAATTAAAATATCCTCTTATACAGTGACCATAATTTTAGAAAATACCTTTACATCATGTGCACATAATATGCTCTTTTACAAATTAAAATGATTATTGTTTTTTTCCTCTACATTCTTGTTGGACATGGGACTTACCTGTCCTAATACCCAGCTGTCTCCAAACACCTGTGCATTTCTCACCTCCATGTTGTTTGATGTAGTCAGATCATTTGAAGTATATTTGTCAAAATTTCCACACAAGCCTGCCAGTTTTCCCTGAAAGAGAAAAGAATTTTTTTCATAAACTTACAGTCAATAATTGGCACAAATTACACACATGGAATATATAAATTTTTGCACAAAAAGGGTGAATGTAAATCTGACTTATCCTTTGAAAATATCTGACACTCTGCTATGCCTGTAGTTCCATATTGCAAATATCTTTTAACAGAAATCAGTAGTTTTCTTCCTTTTTTCCAGAACTTCTCCTAACTGCCTGCCTGTGAAAACAGACTGGAATCTAGTAATATTTTTTTCTGAAAGCTCAGTAGTGATTCCAGTCCAAAAGTCAAAAGTTGAGGTGAATTACATCATGATTGTGAAGCCTGACTAGTTGTTGTCATTAAAACTTGCTGCCTCTAATTTTAGTTCACAATAGCTAGAATCTCTGTAATAGCAATGATAAAAGAGACAGCTGCAATTTTCTTTTCTTGGGCATATGCTGCTGATGGAAAAACTATGTATACATACATACATATATAAATATATAGGAAAATAGACATTCCTGCACAACAATAAAAAGTAGAGCTGGACTTTTAGGGTGTTGTGGCTCACACTAATGAGTTTTTTTCTTAAGGTCTGCTGCAGACATCTTACCGAACTGTAGCCTCTGGAAGAAACAGTCATTGGAAACAGAAAGAACAGGAAGAATTTGTGTTCCTAAATGCAACCTGTAGAACTCAGCTCCCAGCTAGCTTACTCAAAAACTGAAGACCTTTTTTTTTCTCTATGTGTATTGATGGCTGACAAATCAACTTGTTGGTGAATTAAGTATTTTATGGCTATTTGGACAGAAGCCTATAATAATTTTGCTCTAAACCTGCATTAGATGGTCATTGTAGCTTTGACTTACACTTCAAAAAAATCTGATATTGTATTCTAGCCTAGCATGCTTTTTTTTCTTTTGCTGAATAAGCTCCATCTTCACACACGTGTTCATGTTTGAAACAAAGAGTAATGTAATTCTGAATTGCACTGATAGGGTTACTCTGCCTGCACCCAATGACTGAGTTGCATAGACACAAAGTTAGATGATATAGGAATAGAAAAGAGAAGAGCAACTGGGCAAAAAAGAAGCCTTGAATCCCTCCTCACATCATGACTGAATCCTGTCACGATATATCCATTAGGTTTAAATGTAAGTTTTTTTCTAGATCTTTTTCTGTATTTTGTGTTTTTTGATTAAAGCAAAAATGTGACTCCATCTGTTCATCTCAAAAGCCTCTACTACATCCCAGGTTGCAGTTCCAACGTCAGTCTAATGCAATCTGTGCTACAAACTTGCCATCCTCCATGTCACTGGGCGCAGAAGCTTCTTTTACATTGGCTCTAGCCAACGAAAACATGCAGCGAACTGGGTAACTCAAAAACTACCCCTCACTTCCAGCCCCCAAAATTATCTTTGAGTCAGAGCTGAATCACTGCATATCTCCAAAGCTACAGTAAATCGAACAGAGTGAGTGTAGGTGTAGAAACCACTCCTTCTCTTCAGAAGTTGCTTTCTCCATCTCTTCTTACCTGGGAAATACTAGCAGCTGAACAAGCTGTATCACTGGGAAAGCTAGTCTTGAAGAAAAGACTGTCACAGTTATTCAATAAAAGATGACATTAGGGATATAGAGAATCTACACAAAATCTCAGGTTTATATTTTGGCTCACCTTCCATCGAGGTCCAACTTTTACATGCATCATTGTCTTCTTATCCCACAGAATTGTAATGTCCTGTTCTGGAAAGTGTATCACAGTATAATATCCAGCCTTCCACAGCTGATAGTTAGATTTGTTTTCTTGCGCCCCTAGGGTCTTCTGACACAAATGAATATTAATTAAGATCTACTAAAGTAATGCTACCAGATAACAGCAGAGTACATATTGAAGAATATTTTAGCATCTAGCTGAATCAGTAATATTAGTAGAAGTGCTGTTTAATACTTTGATATTTTGTCTTTTCAGTCATTCAAGTTTACTTTGTACTTTGGTTTCTCTTTCTAAACCAACTGGAAAGAAACTCATAAACGCCAGTATGTTTCATCTCCTTGATACTTTTGGCAATATTCTTTGCATGACAAATAGAACTTGAAAAAAAACGATGGGGGAAAAAACTGCGTCCTGGGACCTGCTGCTTTATCCAGGCCTAAACACTGATACTACATTAACTCAGACTAGAGATGCTTTCCAAAAACATGCTCCTTTAGAGCTGTAAATTTGCAGTGCTTATCTTTAAGGGCAACCAAAAAAGGAAAGAAAATAACTAACCTGCTTCTCAGAAGGTTCGCTAAAATAAATCTCAGTGTCTCCAACAGTGATGAAAACATTCTTTGAGCAAACAATATCATTGTCAAAGCACTTTTTGTTCTGAGCAATTATAGATATATTTGAGTTATCTGTGCTCTGCAACATTAAGAAGAAATCATTTTACTGATATATTCAATTGCATTTCACTCCTGCAGATTTATTCTATGCTTATCATCACAAAAGAAAAAAAATATATATATACTTAAGAATTTACACACATTTGAAATTAAATTTAAGCAAGTTACCAAATCAGGAAATGCCTTTTTAAATTCAAAACTGAACCCACAAACTTTGGAGTTAAGCACCAGGAGCTATTATATTCAGCTGCGACTATTCTTGCTGAAGATTTCACAAACTCAGAGGATCAGGCTACCCCTAAAATAAGAGTCTGGTTTAGGCTTTTAAAATATGCTTTTACTTGGAAGCTAATATTTACGGCATAGTGTGGTTGTCGAAATTGAGACATGCTATAAAAAGAGCTTTATTTTTAAACCAAGGTACATGAGATCAAGCTGTTTTCATGTTTTTAAAACCAAGAAACCTTCCATCTGTCAGTAATAGAGAGGACAGTTTCTGTGCCACCACACACCAAAATTCACGAAACCATGAGTCATACTTAATGTTATTGGAGGGGGTAAAGGTTTCTGCCAATATTTTTGTTTGTAGGGTGGGGTTATTTTAACATTTAGAAGATTTGAATATTTTATTGTCCTGATTTACTGGTGTTTTAGTACTTCAAACTCAAATGCACTGCCTCCCCAAACCCACACCTTTTGGCTCTACAGCCCATTCATTACTTTTGCATACTAGGCACAAAAAAAATCACCTTTGCACCTTGGCTCAACACATCAGTTTATTCACCTACAGCTTCTGGGGTTCTGTATCCTGAGGGAAACACACGTGCACCATGTAATTCCTCATGCTAAGATTTTACCTGAACAAAGGAGATGAGCTGTCTTTTCAGTTGCTAACACTACCACCAAAAAAATGAAGTTGAGCTATTTCTATTATTTCCTATTTTAATTTACTTCCCTATTCTTTTCTGTAGCAATCCTTACAAATCAACATGCAGCCATAACTATAGAAATTACTTGAGAAAGGTCACTTCATAACATTAATATGAGCCACTGTTAATATTGAGACACTGTTTCTGAATCTGGTTCAACTTTTGAGTAAATTCAGTCCTACAGTCATCAGATACATGAGACAGACATGAAATAATCTTGGAAGTGGCAAGTAGCACCCACTGACTATTCCATTCTTATATGGGACACTTGGGTAGTGCTGGGAAAAAAAAGGTTCTCTTCTTGTTAAAACTCTTCTGGCTCCCACCCTCTTTTGAACATACTCTCTGAGACTGTGATTAGATGAAACTAACTGGAGATGCTAATGGGCATGGTGTGCAAGATGGAATGGTGGCTCTCAGCATCTCCCCAGTCCTGGGAATTACTCATGGCTCCCAGCAATGCTCTTGAAGAGCCCCACTTGGCCACAACAAGAAGCATCCCACACCTTGGTGTCTGCCCACAGCATCTCCCCAGAGCTTTGCTCCCTCCTGTGGTCAATGTACCACTGCCTTGCCCAGTGTACCCCCAGGAGTTGCTGGCTACTTACTCATAACTGTTTCTTGCCTGTCTCACATTTGTCCCCTTATTTATTCTGTGCTGATCAGAATTCAAGAATTAAAAAAAAAATCATTAATTTTTCCTCATCAGTGAGAAATACTGCATGTGCGCTGTAGGAAGCAGTTTGTGTATTTTTTCTTAATAAAAGTCATAGCGACCAAACTCTTTAAAAAATACTTTCATTCTAAAATCAAAAACAAACCCATCCCCAGATGATGGAAAGCATAGAGGTATTTTTTGCCACACAGAGGAGGTACTACAGTTTTGCTACCCTTAGTCTAGCATGGCCCACAAGCCAGAGGATGCTGCTACCTGGCATAGAAAACACTCTACAGCAAGCGAGCGCTTATGAATGTGATGAGCACGATTTGTGGGAGACTGCCTGCAAGCTCTGTGTTACCCTAATGCCAGGGCTTAGGAAACAGATGGTGCTTGCCAGCAGTTAGCTTGGAAGGCAACAGCTACAGTGGGTAAAGTTATTCACTAACTGCTTAGTGGTAAGGGGGTGTAGGAAATCAGATCTCCGTGATTTAGCAAGGGAACTCAGTTTAAAACTATCAGAAGCTTCAAGGTAAAGTTCATCTGTTCCATTCTGTTGTAAAGTTGTGTTAGGTTGCACTCAAAATAAAATTGGTCACTACCTTAATGGGAAATCCACTATGTTTTAATTAAACCAGGCCTGCTGCTGGAGTGAGTACCAGTTATTCCCCCTCCAAGTCAGATAACAGCCCAGAGCATTTTTTGATTTATTGGATGCGATGTGGTAAATTAAAAAGGAGACAATCTCATTAGTTTGATAGATAGGATGCAAGCTGATACATTCTGTGCTGGGTAACTGAAAAGTGAGAAAATGAGTTACTCCCCACCACGGCTCAGTGCAAAGAAGGACTTTGCTTGCAGTCTCTGGGTCTATTTGATGCCTAGGACATTGTGGGCTCTTTTCATTGCACAGGTCACTCCTCTTCAGTTACCTTAGTCTCAGCAAAAAGGGACATTCTGAGTTAATAGGGAAGCAATGTCTTCCCTGTAAGAAAAGAAATTAGGAGCTTGATTTTAAATTAGGATAGTCAAATCAGGCTAATTGCCCCACAGTAAAAATACACCTTTTTTGGCAATGAAGACAAGTCCTTGAGGCAGCAGCGGGTAGCTATATTAGCTATGCTAAATGAAACTGCTGCCTATGCTTTCTGACAGTCCAGACCAATCCCTTCAGCTGAACAGCATCTACATACTCAGGTCAGAAGTTTTTGTATATGGTTGGGATTTGAGCCAAGAGCACAAACTGAGTTATATTTCAAGTAAACTCTGCAGTACAGAGAAGCCTGGAGCCAGGAAGTGTTTTGCTGACCAAAGCCAGAACAGGGAGTCCTGAAGACATGTGAAGTACTTCCTTACTTGTAGGACTGCATGATGGTATTAAATTACTAGGAATTATGCAGGACAGATATGCAAAGAGACTGTGCTAGTAGTTCAATAGAGTTATGAGTAAATCAGACGTTTAACAAAAAAGGGCCTTGTATTAAATCCTGAATCTTCTGTGCTTTCTCTTTTTCTAATTAAATCTTAGACCTAAATCCATACATAAAAATATCATTATGGATTACATGTTTCTTATGGCTCTAAGCTTTCACAAAATTATTTGCTTTATATATGTTTACAAAATTATTTGCTTGCTGTTCTCTCCATATAACTCAATAGACACCTTTCCAAACCATACAATAGTAGACAAATTCAAATTTGAATGACAGTTTCTATCACAGTCTTCAAATTATTCTGTAGCTGCTGCACATGCGGTGTCTTCTTTCAATAAGGAAGAAATAAAGTGCAGTTGAAACTTAGCACCTAACTATTAACAGTGCAAAAGAAAAGACTATTCAGCTAAAGTGAGAATCATCTTCTGATGTTTATATAAGACAGGGAGGTCTTAAGCAAATCTCAAGAGTTCTTAGGGAATGTGATGGTATAAATGATAATGAGTTCCATCTCTCTAATCTGCACTAAATCCACACAAATATGAAAACAAGCTTTTGTCACTAGCACTAGAAGAAATGTCTGAGTAGACACTAGGAGCAGGTCTAATGAATAACAAGGTGGGGGATTTTTTGGTTTTGTTTTTTTCTGCACAGCCTCTTTCCAAGGCAGAGTCACTCTTTACCTTTTTAGGTAAAATGCACCCAGCAGGGGATGTACTCCAGTTCATCATGTGGAACCTACTTATGCTGACAGAAACTAGAAATAAAATGGTTTTCCCACTGCAAGAGTATCTTCCCACGTAAATTACCATATCCAGCCTGTTCCAACTTAATATCAGTTTCTTTGTGATAACATGGAGTTGCCAAGCAACAGAAAAGACAGAGTCACAGCTCTGGGCAGTCAGTCAAAAGCTCATTGTCAGTCCCACTTCTCAGGACATTCTTTTTCTAGACTCCACTGAACTTTTTTTCCATATTTCTTCCTAGTCAAAAAAGCAAAGCACTGCTTTCCTTTTTCTGGTTTGGTGATGTTTTTGGGGGTTTTTTTTAGCAGTGCTTGGGAATGCTAGAGTTTATTTTTGTTAGAAACTTTCTATTTCAATATCCTGTTAGAAATTTTCTGTCCCTTTTAACCAATAACAGTTCTGTGCAGTGTGCTTATATCGTCAAAATGCAGCCTGGGAAATGACAATTTAATTGACTGTATTCATTACTTTGAAAATTTCATTAAAATCTCTCTAACTGTTCCATGTAAAGACTCATTTTTTTCTCAATACCCATTTACCTGATTTACCCATTACTTTTGGCTTATTCCCTACAAAATTGCAAACTAGGGTGGCCATAAAGGCATACAAGGACACCCTGGGAGTGGGATTCCTTTTGCTTTAATGACATTTTAGGTGTTTTCATAAAGACACACAAAAAGAACTGCAAAAAGTTCTAAAATATTGAAAAAATATAAAGTAGTTTAAAAAGTAGAAATTGCTTTCTCTTTCCTACATATTTTCAGAGAGATTCCATAGCTCTGTTCAGATTTAATATTTCAGGAGATTTTATGGAAAGTCAGAATCAGCTTGGTCATGGTTTTTTGGCTCCTTTCTTATGAAGGAACTTAGCATTTGAAACTATTACTTCTAGGGAGCTTGATCTGGGAGAAGTAAAACATCTTAGCCCAGATTTAGTGGGCATTTGGGCATAAATATAGAAGTTATTTTGGGGAGCAGACAAATGCCTTGGCATCTAACTTGTTCTTGCTCTATTAGTTTCCTGTGCCATTTTTCTATGGACTTGAGCTCCAGATAATCAGTGAAAATGCATGAATTATGCTGAACTCATTTTAATTTACACTAAGAAGCATCTCTTGTTGAAAAGCTTTCTTTGTTTTGCTGCTGCACCTAATTTCTTCTGCACCTTGCCAGAATTTATATATACAGTCCACGTAAATTTATTTGATCCCTGGTTTTACATCCTGTACTAATTTGTATCAGCAAATATTCTT